ATGGCCGGATGACTGGATGGCAGGAGAGGACGAAAGAAAGCCAGGGGACGGCCGGGAATTGAACCCAGGCCTCCTGATTGCCGGTCAGGTGTGCTACCACTACACCACCGAACCCAGGACATTCAATCGTGCCTCTCCATGCCCTCCACATCATTACACATGGGCAGAATGGCATTCTTCGGTGGGATCATCAACCTGATTTCTGCGCGATGGTCGCCTGCTTGGTATTAACGCTGAGAGAGTACTCGAGTTGTACTTTTTCGTACACCTTCGGTTTTTCCCGTTTTAGTGCATCATTCAGTCCTGCACGGATGGGACTGTGTTCCTCGCTTTGCTCGGGCGAGTTTAAGATGCCGAAGAGTTCTTTTTTTTATTGCTATTAATATTTACTATTCATTCCTTCATCTTCGCACTTATTTCAATGAAGAGAGGCTGTGGTGCTCATGTCATTTTTTTTTCCAATTCGTGCATTGACTTCTGCAGAATCAAAGAAAATCATAAAATCTCACCTTGGATGTAGTGTTGCTGGATCCGTTCACAACTGGGTTATCGCATCCCAATATCTGGGAAGAGGAAAGGCATTTGTGAGGCATCATATCATCTGAATATTGCATACGTTGGATGTAAATTTGGCGTTGTACAACTCAGATTATTTTAAGCTTGAGGTGGTTGCACTTGATCAAAGATCTGCGATGGGAAATTTAAAAGTTAATTTTCGGAAGTGAACGCTAATGATTCAATTGGGAGGCTTTTAAAAAAGAGAATTTTCAAGACTGAGCTCTTCAAAATTTACTGAAAGGCGTTATTCCCATCCATGGAATCACCTTTGCCAAATCCGCACCACCATAAAAAGCCACCACGCTGGAGCAAGGGAAAGGCGAGAGATTGCAGACGGTCACAGCCGGAAAAGTCAGATATTCGGTAATTCGATATTCGGTAAGACACGGAGTAATCCAGATACTCCATTACCACCTGGAGGATCCCCTGCAGACACGGAAGCGAAATGGAGTCAGGCGAGGACCTCCTCGCATCAAAAAAAGTGGGGACTCACGTAAATGGTGGCAGCAGTGGCGACCGCTGTGATGAACCACCAAACGAATATCCGGAACGGGTGAGTGGCTCTGCTGACATTCGTGATGCCATTAATACCGGTGGTGCGGTAGAATTCTCCCAAGACATTCCACGTGTTTTCGCTCCAGCCCACTCTCCCTTTTCCCTTCTCCTGAATGAAACGGACTGAGGTCAGTATATCAAGGGAAAGGGCACGGATATTGGTCTCCTTTCGTCACATTCGCCCGTAGAGAGAGACGTTATATCATACCCGAATATGTTATTCATAAGAGGGAGTCTCTGATATTCTCGCAGGCCTCCCAACGAGAAAAATATTAGTATCCAAAAGTGGCTGAGTGGTTTAATTACAAATCAGGTGGGCCCTGTGAAGTCCAGGTTCTCAACTGGTTTCGAAAAAGTATACAGGGTCGCCCCATGAACAAAAAACGAAGGATGCAATCAAAACGAATTGCCGTAGTACCTTTGATACGAAAGCATGACTCGAAATGGAACATGATTTCCCAGAAGATTTAATGGGGTTGTCCAAAAAGTTCTTTATATTAATTTTTAAAATGAGTTACACTCAATGAATCTTTTTTAAATTTCGGTGAGCCCTGGTTCAAAGAGGCATCTCTACAGGCCAAACGACGGAGACAAGAGTTGCCGCTATAATCGCAAGAGGAGGGTGGCATCGCTCACCGTCATGCCTTCCCCCCTGCTGCAGGAAATCCTGGGATTTTAAGCGTCCGTTATGAAGTAAGGGTGATATCTTTTTCTTCAACTTTATTCGCATTCGCCTCCTTCGCTCCATTCGCCGATCAGGTTCCGATGATTATAACAGGTCAATGAGACCGTCAGGCTTAATAAATATTAGGCAGCCCGTGCAAAAGCATGGAAGTATTTAAAGGCGCAGAATGCGCACATGGGCATGGGAGGCCGCCATCCTCCCCCCCCGTCCCTTTAACTGGCAATGTGAGAAGACGGGACGCGGCAGATGCAGCCCTAATTTCTCGGTCTGCCCCTGCGCTTCGTTAATCTTCGTTGCCAAGAAGGGGGATCTGACGCCGAGAGAAGCCGAAGGGAAACCCAATGATAGTTCAGTTCGGTATTTTAAAGAAATAATTCCTTCTCTTATCGTATATACTGGTCAGAATCTGCGAATTTGAAATTCTTAGGTTTAAATCCAAGTAGCGTGCCTTAAAAAATGGTAGTTGAGTTGTTTCTACAACTTCCATACAATCTGGATAGATGTTTTTAATACCACGATCTATCCTGTCATTGTTTATGGCCAGGAGACCATCTATGTATCGGAATGTTAAGGCATAATTCTCGGAGAAAGTGTTTTCTTTAATAAATTTTGATTAATTGAAAAACAGGAAAAGTTTTGTCATGTTCGGGGAATAGGTACTGCCCATTGGGATTCCGACTGCTTGCTGAAAAAGTCGATTCCCAACTTAGAAATAATTACATTCTCGGCTTGTTTGGAGCAGTTGAGAAAACCTTCCCTTGTCGATTTCACCTTTCTTACTAAACTTGCATCCAAAAGGCAGAAACCTCTCGAAAAGAGCAACGATGCAATTAAAGAGTAGGTCTAGTGTAATTTTTGCATATAAAGTGGTAAAATCCCATGATCTGATGGATTTGGCAGTTTTAATAATATTGATGTTTCTTACAGCTTTCAGTACTCCTTTATAATTTTTTATCATCCAATTTTCATGGACATTTTGAGAGGAATATTCGAGCTCATTCATGAGCTGATCCAGAACCTCATTCACTCGAATGATTTCTGATGCTTGTGCTGTCTGAGCTGGTGATGAACCGAAATTTTATTGGATTTTAAAATTAAATTTGGGGTTTGCAAAAAGGAATGGTACTTTTGTACTCTTTGAATATATTTTTATTCCATATTCAGAACATGCACTAAACACGTTCTTTCCTGCTTTTTCAAAACTTATGGTTTGCTCTTAAAAGGTAGGGCTGTTGAAAATTTCATCTTTCGGTATTTGGCCATAAAAGCGCTGGGAAATAATGGCAAAATTATTGCCCTAGGAGCATGTTTACTTAAACAATATATATTAATTCTTTGCAAACAATGCAAATTTCTTGCGATTGTCATGAAAATGACATCACGTTTACGTAAAATTTACGTTCCTATGTTTACGTCACGAAAGTGTACGTGTATTTTGCATAAACCAGACGTCACTCCATTTGACGTGAAGTACATGATATCAAGTTTGTGCAAAATTAACGCCACACCATCTATATGAAACTCAAGCTGACCATCTCGTAATTGCAGTACTAAGATTCCTTACTAGGATGGAATCCTTGTTCCCTGCATCCTACAAATACTATTAAGTGCTGGCTTTCCTGACAGAATACCAGATTTTCTTGCCATCATTCCACTTTTTATTATGCAATCCATGAATATATATATATGGAAAACATGAAATTATAATATATATTTTTATATTACTCAGGGAATCATTAAATGCCGAAGTCAAGCATTTTATTACACCAGTGCACGGGATTAGGGAAGAGCAGAATCCCAGCTTCACAAGTACTAAATCATCTCCACCCCAAATAGAAGAGAGCTCCTCTGAATGTCTACTCCTCCTCTCGAAGTTCCAGTACGGGAGGAAGGAAGCGGTAGGTCACTTTGGTATTCCTGAGTGCTGATGAGGCTGAGTGTAATCATCCAACCACCCTTGAGTTCTGAAGTGTCGAAAGGAATGGGAGGTACAGTATATCAATTCTTTTCAAAGGTGCTGATTGGCTCGTTTTAAAGACACATGAATGCTAAGGGGAAATTAGCGTGAATCTTGCGTAAAATGACCGTAAACATACTTTTGGGAATGGAAACGAGTCGAGTAATTGTCGCTAACTTTATATCCCCGTTTACGTATCCAAGAGAAACATCTGGAAACATGTTGGCATTATCTTGACAATGATTTGTGTAAAAATGATATAAAATAGACAAAAAAATTTACATTAATTTTACGTAAAATTAACATAAACATGCTGTTTGGGTGGGGGATCAACATTGACTATCACAAAATTCTTGCATATTTCCTCTAGGAGATCATTGAATTTTCTGTAGGAAATTAGGACAGGGCCTTTGGGGTACTTGGCCTGAAAACTTTCAATTTTCTTTTCTTGAGACACTTTTATCTCCCAAGGATGGAAAAGGGCGTCAGAGGGTTCCAGTTTGAAAATAAACTCGAGAAATGTAAGATTGGATTTGCTCGATAAATTTCTCCTTGCTGAACCAATGATTAAACTCAATTTTGCTCCTTGTATGAATATAGCTTTATTCTCTCTATCGTTTAGAATATCTCTTGTAATAATGTGTTCATGATTTCGGTGAACAAACAAATGATTAATTCTGGTTGCTTGCAAACACAGGGTAGTTCGCTGATGGAGCAAAATTCTAAATTTTCAACGAATTTTCTGCGATTGCAGACTTCAACAAAAAGAGACATTGAAAGCTTATAGGATAAGGAGGGATAAGTTTCTTTCAACGGGAATTCATCCTTCATTTCTTGATTTGGCAGGGTTTCTTTCAGGTTCAGTTTCTCCATCTGTTAACTGGGAAATGGGATGACCAAAATGCTTTGGAAGAAGATTTTTCAAGAAATTCCCAACTTAAATCTACGAAAATATGGAACAAGGCTTTTCAAGTGCGATTCTGGAAGAATCTGAGTCATCAGCATGTTGCCCACTTGCTTTAACTCGCGCTGCTCCAATGATTCTTGCGGTACCTGCTCCTTCACTCCGCCAATGCGCACCGTTGGCCAGCTTTAAACTCTGTGAATCATTTCGCACTTGAATCGCGGCATTTTCTCTGCCGCTCTTTTCTGCCATGAGCAACTGAAGTATTAGACCCATATTCATCATGATTGGAATCACTCGTTAGGGCTTATTGATCCCTCTGAGAATCTATAGTGCCTCGTGTGTCGGGGCTGGTTTCCAAAGAGTTAGTATTTATTGAATAGAAAAAAGTTGGGCTGAAAAATCGGGGGGAAATCCAATAGGAGTGAATGGTGACAAAGGTCATGAGCCCAAGTATGGCTTTCAATTGCAGCAGGCATGCCTATACTGTTCTCATGGGTGCGCCATCTTCAGTTTTTTCTTAGCTCTGCGGGCTGCGAAGTGAGTAGCGTGAGGTCCTGGATAAATGTCCTCATACCACATTGTCCTATGAGGCGACGATTTAAGGGAATGCCTTCATTTTTGGGTTTCCCTTCGTCTTCTCTCGGCGTCAGATCCCCGTTCTTCGCAACGACGATTAACGAAGCGCAGGGGCAGACCGAGAAATTAGGGCTGCATCTGCCGCGTCCTGTCTTCTCACATTGCCAGCAGAGGGACAGAGGGGGGGGGGGGGGGCGGCCTCCCATGCTCATGTGCGCATTCTGCGCCTTTAAATACTTCCGTGCTTTTGCACGGGCTGCCTACTAATATTTATGAAGCCTGACGGTGTCATTGACTTATGATCATCGTCGGAACCCGATCGGTGAATGGAGCGAAGGAGACGAATGCAAATAGAGTTGAAGAAAAAGATATCACCGCTATTTCATAACGGACGCTTAAAATCCCAGGATTTCCTGCAACATGGGGAAAGGCAAGACGATGATCGATGCCACCGTCCCCTTGCGATTATAGCAGCAACTCTCGTCTCCTGCGTTTGGCCTGTAGAGATGCCGGTTTGAACCGAACTTTAAAAAGATTCATTGAGTGTAACTCATTTTAAAAATTAATATAGAGAACTTTTCGCACAACCCCAGTACATCTCGGCCCCATTAAATCTTCTGGGAAATCATATTCCATTCCGAGCCATGCTTTCGTCTCATAGATACCACGGCAATTAGTTTTGATTGCATCCTTCTTTGTGTGCATGAGGCGACTCTGAATACTTTTTCGAAAACAGTTGAGAACCTGTACTTCACAGGCCCCACCTGATTTGTAATTAAGCCACTCAGTGGGCTTCTTGGATACTAATTTCTTTTTGTCGTTGGGAGGCCTGCGAGGAAATCAGTGATTCCCTGTTATGAATAATATATTCGGTTGTGATATATCGTCTCTCTCTACGGGGAATGTGACGAAGGAGACCAATATCCGTGCCCTTTTCCTTGATATACTGACCTCAGTCCGTTTCATTCAGGCGGAGGGGAAAGGGAGAGTGGGCAGTAACATGTGGAATGTCTTGGGAGAATTCTACCGCACCACCGGTATTAATGGCATCACAAATGCCAGCAGAGCCACTCACCCGTTCCGGATATTCGTTTGGTGGTTCATCACAGCGGTCGCTACGGCTGCCACCGTCTATGTGAGTTCTCCGCCGTTTGGATGCGAGGAGGTCCTCGCATGACTCCATTTCGCTTTCGTGTCTGCAGGGGATCATCCAGGTGGTAATGGAGTATCTGGATTATTCCGTGTCCACGACCGTGTCCGTGATCGTTCCGGAATATTTGACTTTTCCGGCTGTGACCGTCTGCAATCTCTCGCCTTTCCCTTGCTCCAGCGTGGTGGCTTTTAATGGTGGTGCGGATTTGGCAAAGGTGATTGCATGGATGGGAATAACTCCTTTCGGTTTCAATTTTGAAAAGCTCATTCCTAAAAATTCTCCTCTTTAAAAGCCTCCCAATTCAATCATAAGCGTTCGCTTCCAAGAATTAACTTTTAAAATTCCATAGCTGATATTTCATAAGGTGCAGGTTCCTCAACCTTAAAAAAGCCTGAGCTGCTTAATGTTAAATATCCATCCAAGGCATGCAATCTTCAGATGATATGATGCCTCGCAAAAGCCTTTCCCCTTCACAGATATTGGGATGCGATAACCCAGTCGTGAACGGATCCAGCAACACTACATCCAAGGTGAGATTCAACGATTTTCCTTGGTTCTGCAGAACTCAAAGTGCGAATCGGAACAGGAACGACATGAGCACCGCAGCCTTTATCCAATGAAGATGAAGATGAATGGATAGTAAAGATTAATAACAGTAAATAATGAACTCTTCCGAATCTCACACTCGCAATTTTCTATCCAAAAGCATCTAATATTTATAGACGATCGTGACTGACTGACTGACGCTAATTCTAACCATATTCCATAAAGGCTAGAAATCTGAAACTAGGTACACATGTACCTTTTGGGGTGCAGAGTTCAGAAAAAATCCGACTTTGGAGGTACATGCCCTGGGGGTACACATTTTGGGGGTAGAAGTTTTTTTTAAATATACATCGTGATGGATAAGGATGTCATCGAAAGATGACACTGTATGTCACCGTTTCGGTAGTGTAGTGGTAGAACAACTAACCGGTAATCGTGAGGCCAGGGTACAATTCCATTCCATGCCTTTTTTTGGCTTCTCTTGCCTTCCATGTCCCGTTGCTTGAATATAATGGAGAGGCATGGAAAGCTGAAACGTGGCATGGACGTGCCTACCGACACGATGAGTTCAGTAAAAAAAATGCAAAATTTTAGATCCATGCCCTGGGGGTATATTTTTGGGGGACGACGTTTTCAAGAATTTTTTTTTTGTCCTGGTGTATTGAGCAAGTGTAGAAAGATGAAACTTGGTACATAATTACCGACTGGGATGCTGCCTGCAGAAAAATTCAGACTTTGGAATGAAATGCCCTGGGGGCATAAATTTCAAAGGGAGATGCTTTCACATAATTTTTTGCATTATTTAAACCGATGGACATGGAAAGCTGGAACTTTGCATGAATGTGACTACCAAGATAAGGAGTTAAAGAAAAACGTTAAGTCTTGATACATCCCTGGGGGAAAACTTCTCGAGGGGCGATATTTAAAAAAAAAGAAATTGTCGGGGCGAATTGGACAGAAATGGAAAGGCGAAACCTGGCACACGTATAAGTGACGTGATACTATTGAGTTGAGGGAGTATTCAGCTTTCATGGTGCATTCCCTCCGGGCATAGCTTTTCAGTGGGTCGGCATTTCCAAACATGATTTTTAACCAGTGAAAAGGGGAAACATACAAGATAGAAACTTTGAGGGCATGTCGTTCACTGAGGTTTGATTTCGGTAAAAATGGTATTTTTCGGTTAAAACGCCCGAGGGCACATATATTGCAAATTTTTCTGAATTTTCTGATCCACCAAAATGGAGGGTGCTAGAAAGTTTAAACTTGGCAAAGAAGTACCTGATGAATATCTGAGTAAAGAAAAATTCTACTTTCATCTAATATATATAGACGATCGTGACTGACTGACTGACTATCAAATATTTTGAAACCATTAACCTCTTCAGACCCGACAGCAAAGAAGGGGTAGAAATTTTTTTTAAATATACATCGTGATGGATAAGGATGTCATCGAAAGAATGGACTGTATGTCACCGTTTCGGTGTTGTAGTGGTAGCACATCTGACCGGTAATTGTTAAGCCAGGGTTCAATTCCTGGTCATTCCATGCCTTTTTTTTTTGTTTCTCTTGCCTTCCATGTCCCGTTGATTGAATAAAACGGAGAGACATGGAAAGCTGAAACGTGACATGGATATGCCTACTGACACGATAAGTTCAGTAAAAAAAAATGCAAAATTTTAGATCCACGCCCTGGGGGCAAATTTTTTGGGGCCGACGTTTTCAAGTATTTTTTTTTGTCCTGGTGTATTGAGCTAGTGTGGAAAGATGAAACTTGGTACATATTTACCTACCGGAATGCTGCATGCAGAAAAATTCAGACTTTGGAAATGCCCTGGGGGCATGAATTTCAAAGGGAGATGTTTTCACATAATTTTTTTTGCATTAGTTAAACCGATGGACACAGAACGCTGGAACTTTCCATGGATGTGACTACCAAGATAAGGAGTTAAAGAAAAATGTTAAGTCTTGATAAATCCCCGGGGAAAATTTCTCGAGGGGCGATGTTTAAAAAAAAGAAATAGTCATGGCGAATTGGACAGAAATGGAAAGGTGAAACTTGGCACATGTATAAGTGACGTGATATTATTGAGTTGAGGGAGTATTCAGCTTTCGTAAAATATTGAAATCATGGCGAATTGGACAGAAATGGAAAGGTGAAACTTGGCACACGTATAAGTGACGTGATATTATTGAGTTGAGGGAGTATTCAGTTTTCATGGTGCATCCCCTCCGGGCATAGCTTTTGGGTGGGTTGAGCTAGAGGGCTAGTGAACTAGCCCTCTGTGTGGTGTTGAGGGTAATCAACGGTGTCAATTACCCAGAATTGATATGCAATTAATGAGACGGATCGATGATCGCTTCCGGTCGTTGTTAATCCGCACATCCATTTTTGCAGTTTTCCTCTTGCAAAATCAATTGCTGAATGACATCGAGGCCTCACACACGATTAATCAAAACCCTAAGAAAAGTAATGGTCATGGGAAGGGCAAGCACCGGCCCTATCTGGCAAATCCATTCATGCGTAGAGAATACATGGCACCAGAATGCATGCATATTCCATGCGTTGCAGTGAGCATGGGTGGAATGGCAGGGCATTGTTCGGTGGGATCATCGTTTCTGCGGGAAAGTCGCTTGCTTGGTATCAACGCTGAGAGAGTACTCCAGTCGTACTTTTTCGTACTCTTCCAACTTTTCGTTCTGGTACACCATTCGGTCCTGCATGCATGGAGCAATGCTGCTCGCATGACACGGGATACGAGTTCCCTTTCTTTCATTTGTAAGCGAGCATTGTAAGCCTTATATTCCGTTTCGCAAATGCGATAAAATCCATTTTCTTTTACAAGTGAATCATCTCGGTTGCACCTTGGGACACCATGAGACGAGGACATTACTGCACCAAGGCAAATTTATTCTATGATTAAGTAAAGACATTTGAAAAAATTCCCACATTTTCGGACCGACGCCAGAAGACGGACATCCATCCAGACGTATCCATCTAACGCAGTAGTGTTCCCGATCGCCGAGAATGTCATAGACGAATTTCTCGTCCTGTTCGGAGTATGCCGGACTTCGACCTGTACATTTCCTGAGTCTTGTAGACGTCTCCACATACTGGTAACGAGTTTTCTTTACGTTCAATTTTTACAAGCTTCTACAAAAGAAATGATTTCGCCTGAGCAAGAATTTTGCGGAATGCCTGCTTTTTTGCAAACGAATTCAAAGCAGTTAAACGAACGAATCTTCGACAACATTGAGCGCATGAAAATGTGGAAAGGAGGAGGAAAACAACCCAAATGAAACAAATCACGAAACGCTCAACCTTGCAACAGGAGAACCCAAGCGTTAACATTAACGTAAAAACGTACAATTTTACGGTCCATCAGCTTGTAGTCTAGTTTTTCAAGTCGACCTTTCTTCTCTCTCTCCCAGCCGAGCGGGAAAAACTTCGCGAACGACAGGGTGACAGTGAACACTTACTTGTATCGCCTGGCTCGTCTCACCCCGGAGGAAAAGGCCGCGATCATGCAAGACAGAGACGAGTTCATCCGCACCTGCACATACGAGGGCGTCGATTGCACCAGGTCAATTCATTCAAAATTTACGCATTCCGACTTTTACTGGTTCGTTCGAAAAATCCTCTTTCTCCGTGCAGCTATTTCTTGCCGTACGTGAACACGACGTACGGAACCTGCTACTCCTTCAACCTGATTCTGAACAACGACTCCGATCCGCTCGCCGGATCCAGGAAAACCGTCTTCACTGGCAAACCTTATGGTTCAACGCTCTATTTTGTCCCTTTGCTCGTCTTGCATACTCAATATTGGTTACGCATTATATAGCAATGCAAATGTAGGACGAAAAAACAATGAGGGCATATCTTGTGCTTGTTGCAGCTTTTCGAGCATTCACTTCCGGATCACATCATTTTCAAATTGTCCCATTGAATCGCCTCGTATCCCCATTAAATATGACAGAAATTCCAATCCCGCTGCAGCATTTATGATGAGGTTGGAAGGTATTTGCATTAACATTACCTTTTGGGGGGGTCGAGAAAGTCTAAAAATGATCGTATTCAATTATGTACACGTGATATTTAATCAGTTATGCGAAAATATGTACTCCCCCCCTCCATGAATCATTCATGTTTTACTTCGAAAGCCTATTGTCTGTATGAGGTCACATCGCATAGGGATGGCTGTTCGCATTCACTAAATTCGGTAATCGAAGGGTTGGAGTTGGAGTTGTACCTGAACGCGAGCGAGTGGCCGTCCAGCGTGCTGTCGTCGGAGGGCGGCGTCCGCGTCGTCATCCACCGACACGACAGCCTCCCTTCCCCGGAGGAGACCGGATTCGATGCCCGGGCCGGCTCTGCCACGAATGTCGCCCTCAGACAGGTGCAAACCTATGACTGTCGACTTAAGGTTGACGAGACTTGTCGGGTACAGGATCGTTTTCATCAGGAATAGAGAAAACCGAGGGGAAGCTGCAATTGTAGGTTCAAATAACGAATAGAACACGAACCATAAGCACACAGCATGCTGAATCCTTGCCTGAATAAATATTCCAAGTGTATGTACACACTCCACGAATGAATGAAAAATGGATTTAATATTTTTGAACTGCATAAATTATTTGGAGGAGAAACCACTTCAAAAAAATGGAATGTAACATGTTTCTATTTAAAAATAAATTTGAAAATGAGACTGGAATTCATGTCGAATCTTTTAATTCTATTCACGACAAGCAGCTGAATCGTTTTCATTCGATTCATTGAGCAATCTTAAAAGATAGAAATGAGACTTTTTAAATTTGAGTGACACGGTGCAGCCAGCGTATTAGCCCAGACTGTCATTTCTTTCAGCTGCGTCCGTTCGCTTTTCCGCATCTGCGATATTTTAAATCGATCGAGCGAAAAAATTCTCCCCTATGAGAAAAGAAATATATTAATTAAAATTTACTTTGAGGTCTTAACGAATAACAGTAGATTTGCTTCGTGATATTTTTTTGAATCACAAATAGGTGAAAGTCTCTAGGCTGGCATACCCCTATGAGCACGATTGCTACAGTTCCTGGGAAAAGTGCGGGTACTACCCGAGTAACTCCGACATCATCTCCTACGACGTTCAGGTCAGTCCTTCGGTAACAGAGGAACAGACTCATACCTAATATGTACCAAAAAACCATAAATATACCTGAAGTGACTGCCTACAATGACAGCAGAGGATACGCAGGATCAATGACAAAGGAAATGGGCTCAAAGAATAAATAAATTTTAGATTCACGAAATATATGAGTGACTTCCATTCCCTCCATTTTCTCATTTAATTTTCTGACACTATCCCAAGGACCATCTCCATACGGTCAATAGTTCCATTGTTTATCCTTTGATTCAAAGTTTTGGAAGATCTCCTGTGATTCTAGTTGTTCCGCATCTCAAGTAAGACAAACATTTCACAGAAGGAATTTACGAAGGAAGTTACGAAGCGAATATTAATTTATGAAAGGAAAAAGTTATTAGGAAAACAAACTTCCATGAATCCTCGCTCGCATTGAATTCCCCGATGACTCGAAGGCGAAATGTTGACCAGGTCGTCGTCTCACTTGGACGCAGATGTGCAGGCGGATGTGTCTGCAGGCGACGATGGTGAAGCGGTGCCACTGCAAGTTTCCCTACGTCCAGGACTACTTCACCTTTTCGAACGGGACGCTGGGGAGAAGCCAAGTCTGCAACCTCAAAACCTACAGTCTGCACCTCGCTTGTCTTTATGATTCTGCAGAACAGAGGGAGACCCTCGATCTCTTTCCTTCTTTCTTACGAATCTCGCGCTCCGCTTTCGTTTCCTTTTTGCTTTATCAACACGGAAATCCAACGAGACCGGCAATGAAATAATCTCTGACACGCAAATTCACTGACGATTCCCTCCCGATCCCTCGCAGATAGCTCGGACAATCTGTGCGTGATGGAAACGCTGCACGACTTCGCGAACGGGAACATCACTTGCCCCTGCAACGCCGAATGCAAGTGAGTCCTCCTTCCGGTCTTTCTTTTCTGCTCTCCTATACTGTTTCTTGGGAATCTGGTCATGTTCCAATTCGGCTCTCCAGGAAAAGACTTCCAAAACTACGAATCGACTTTGACATTGATTTTGCTATCGATGATCCATCCGTAAATATCGATGATTCACCGATGATTCACCATGATACGATTTGTGGTTCTCGAATTTTTCGGAACTCCTAGTTCGATTCCAATTTTTCATTATGAAGATATGACGAAAAGGAAAATCCTTTTCGGAACTCACGCATGCAACAACTGGGAAACTACTGATACTTTCCCAATAGAGAGTCCATTATGGAGAGGCCTGCCCACCGAGCTGGGCGGAGAATCTCTCCAGACACCTCGCCATCTTTGGACTGTAGTCGCAATTGTGATTTGACAGCTGATCTATGGAGAAAGGGAATGGGCATTTGCGGCGTGCCCCATGCCCAATGGGCATGTCGTGCCAAATCATAAAATTATGAATTATGAAGTTACGCCCACCTTGCCTAAGTAGGTAGGCTCGTGACATCCGATAAAAGCAGAAGATCCTGGTCAAACGAGGTCGTTTTTCCTGTTCGCAGTCAAATTGGATACCAAGAGACGATTTCCTCATCGGAATGGCCGACGAAGTCCTACATGGCAAGTCCAATCTCACGATGAACTACAATCACGATTAGGAGGTTGTAGTCACTTTGAGATGACGAAACTCTTCAGGCAGATGCGCTGAAGGAGATGGATTTACCCCGGACGAGGCAGAATTCAGGCGACACGCTGAAAACGGAGGTGGTCGAGCTGCTCGTTTACTTCTCGTCGGTCGCCCAGGAAACGATGGAGGAAGTTCCCAGCGTGAACGTGAGTTTCGTCTTCGATGATGGAGTCGCGTCGTCATTGAGGTCCATATCATCTCCTATAGTGCCGAGATCTCTCATCCTAAGATCCTGGATGATTTTTGCATCACGTTTTACTTCATGCAAATTTTTCATTTGTCTCATTAGTCGATGACATTAGTACTTGACGGGTTAATTATGCGCTACTAATTGAAATTCAGTTATAAAAATGAGTACCAAACCGGTTGCTATTATAATATAATATCATTTAACAGTAGGAAAATACACAGTTTATAGCATTTTAGTTTCCAGACACTCTTTATTCATGACTTCGACATTCCTCGGTTTTCTTGAGACTGCTGGTAGTTAATTGTGATTTACTTTTAAATAAAAACTATTATCCTCTGAGCTTCCTTAACATATTCTCCCGTTTTGCTTTCCGAGAGCGAATTCATTAAAGGTAATGGTGCTTTATATTTGGGGAATTGGTGCTTAATTTTTTGAAATTGCAACTTCATTTTTGACAATTGGCAATTTTCGCTATTAGAACTTCATTTGATTATTTCAGCTACATTGACACGGAGCGACCGTTCCTCGTGTTGCTTTTCTTGTTCAGCACTTCCGAATCTGCAATATCTCGGACTCAATTCCAACTCGTTTTGGCTCTCTTTTCCTCCCGTTAGAATAAGTTTCTCTTTCAGCATCCGAGTTCCTGAAAACCTGTGAATGGCTCCTTTTTTTCCATCGACGAGTGCGGAGTCCCAGTCAATGGAATGTCTCCGTTGCCGGGCAGGCATCGCCTTCTGAGTAATGTTGAGGGAATTAACGGTGTTAATTACTCTGAATTGATTTGCGATTCATGAGCCGGATCGATGATCGCCTTCGGTCTTCAGCAATTAGGACACCCATTTGTGCAGTTTTCCTCCTGCAAAATCAATTGATGAATGACATCGCTGCCCCACACGATTAATCAAAACGATAGAAAATAAATGGTCTTGGGAAAGGCAAGCACCGGCCCCATTTTTTAAGTCAATTCGTGCACAGAGAATACATGGCACCAGAATGCATGCATATTCCATGCTTCCTGGATCTCCTGGCCCCCGTAGTTATCCTTCGTCTTTTTGCGTGGTCGATCTCCGAAGGTCGTGTCGCCAGATTCCAAGCGTTTGAACCATCGAGACACCGTGGAATAGTTAGAAGGGATATAAATCTGAAATTTTAATACACATATACCTTTTGGGATGCAGAGTTCAGAAAAAACCCCACTTAGGAGGTACATGCCCTGGGGGCACAAATTTCAAAGGGAGATGTTTTCAACTAATTTTTTTGCATCAGTTAAACTGATGAACATGGAAAGTTGAGATTTTGCATGAATATGACTACTGAAAGAAAGAGTTAAATAAAAAATGTTAAGTCTCGATACATCCCCTGGGGAATTTTTTCGAGGGTCGATGTTTTGAAAAAAAAATAGTTGGACAGAAATGGAAAGGTGAAACTTGGTACACGTATGATTGACATGATATTATTATTATTAAGTTGAGGGAGTATTCAGCTTTCATGGTGCATCCCCTCAGGGCATAGCTTATGGGTGAGTCGGCTTTTCCTAACGTGTTTTTTTCACCAGCAAAAAGGGCAAACGCATAATATTGAAACTTTGTGGGCATGTAGTTCACTGAGGATTGAGTTCGGTAAAAAAAAAATTTCCTTTCTGGTTAAAACGGCTGAGGGCACATATAATGCAAAAAGGCGTATTTTCTCTATCCAGCAAAACATTGCGCTAGAAAGTTTAAACTTTGCAAAGAAGAACCTGATGGATAGCTGATTAAAGATGAAATTCTCCTTTCATTATATATAGAGGATCGTGAGTAGCTGACTGACCTAAGTACCCATTCGCATGCTGAGTTCAGGAAAAGTTCTACTTTGGTGGTACATGCCGTAGGGCACATCTTTTCGGGGAACATATTTTCAAATAGTTCTCTTTGTTTCATTGAAACAGAGACACATGGAAAGCTGAAACCCGGCAAGAACTTGACTGCTGACGCACTGAGCTCAAATGTCAAATGTCAAATTTCAAATTTCCAAAAAATTTTGGGGGAGGCATATTTCTTGGGAACAACGCTTTCACGGAAATTTTCATATTCCAGTCCAACGGGCAGAAATATAAAAGTAGCAGCCGGCGCACGCATAACGGACTTGATGCTGATTTAAGGAAAAATTCAACTTTTTTTGTGTTTGTTTCCTCGGAGCACAGCTTTTGTGTGGGTCGATTTTCCAAATACGTTTTTCCCGCCAGCAAAAAGGGGAAACGTTTAAGACTGAATCTGGGTGGCATGGAGTTCCCTGAGTCTACATCTCAAAAGGGAAAATAAATTTGTTAAAACCCATTGGGGGCACTTTTTTCAGTCCCATTTTCCTGAATGATTTTTTGATTCAACGAAACAGAAATAGAAAATGTTAACTTCCCTCAGAAGTACCTATTTGATGGCTAAGTACAGGAAAAATCCAACTTTTGAAATGTCTCCTTAGCATAGATTATAGGAGGGAAGTATTTCTAAATGTATTCAGCACTCTTCCAAAAGGGACACAAGATAGGATTTCAAGTTAGGCACACTAGAAATTATAGGGCTATTGATTTTGATAAAAATCAAGGCTTTCGGCCCCATATGTCACGCATTTCAATGGGGTCGTACTTTAAATAAATAGTTCCCATTTCGCAAAAAATGAATGAATTAATCACTATCCAAGGTAATATAGCGCCGAAGGCGCGTCCATTGCGCGTTTGTTTGCCCGAAGTGCAAACAAACTCGCTAGTATAGTATATATTTAACCTTTTTTTGGCTATTTTACTTTTAGTTTTACATCTGGGATTCCTTTTGGCAAGGAAATCGACTTGAGAGGACAAGCGCCAATTTTCTGCCTCTGCCAAACTGATTTCAAGTCATAATGTCTTTGGCTGAAATAATTTCAAGTGTCATGAGCCATTTCCATTTTCTTGAAATCCTGAGACGGTCGAGCCCCGCCCATCGCGACGCAACGATGCACCATTGTCCGAGTTGGTCCATTCAAATTTATTCATACACCCGCGAGCCAAAGTGTATGAGTTCGGCTATGTCTATTTTCGCAGAAGGAACATGTGCAAATTTCTGTAAACAGGCAGAGGTGTGAAAAGCGGAACGTCTGGAGGACCCTGGAAAACTTGATTTGGGGAAAAAAAATTTCGCGTGGTGTTGATCTTGAGACTCATCTTCTCACGCCAAACTTCTGGACTAAGAGGAATTCACCAACGTCTTTTCCCTTTTTTAAAGCAGTGGGCCCTTTTCCGTGTTCCCGTTATATTTCCTCGAATGGAGTTCGTATTACAGGGGAAAGGGGCGAGGGAATGGAAAAACCCATGACACCTCATTCATCAAAGTCCTTCGCTTCCGATATCGATCGACCTGCGAACTCAGGACGAACGCAACTTGAAGGAACCCTCATACGAAGGAAAGGGCGAGCACTACGTGGGGTGGAGAAGCGTGGAAGGGCTTGGGGGTCGACTGCGAACATGTTGAGGGGTTTCGAATCGATGATAAGCTTCCCCGAGAGGATTCGGCAAGTGATTTTTCACGCTGGAATGCTTGAGATGAATTCTCCGCTGGGTGATATTTAGACCTCTTGGAAGGAAAAGTGGACGATGATCGCTTTTTTGCAATAATATAGTTCCTGGTGCATGCGTTCGTGTGGATGAAATCGATTCGAAACAAAAACAGTCGAACTAGAATCCGATGTGCGAACCGATCCCGAAAATTTTCAGTTTGGCTTCATTCCCCATGCCGAGGCGATCGGGTGTTCCGCTCTCCGACGAGGCACCCGCTTCCTGGGCGGGGGATCCTCAGGCGGTTTGTGGCCGATTCCGAAGCACTTGCTGATGTAGGCCAGGGCGATCATCGGGATGATCTCGATGATTTCCAGGAACATGACGAGGGAGATCCCCAAATACAGGCTCAGCGCTCCTCCCAGGTTGCTCAACAGTGTGATACTCTGACGGAAGGAAATGGAAAAATCGGATCATGTCGACTGCCCCCCCCCACCCCCCACGGCAACATCACGGCGACGACACTCACGGTGACGGCGGGGCTTTCTTCCATCGTTTCCTGGGTGACCGACGAAAAGTAGATGAGCAGTTTCACCACCTCCGTGCTTATCGATCCGCTTCCGTTCTGTCGTATTTGAGTCAAATCCATGGACTTGAGCGCGTCTCCCTGGAGAGTTTTATAGGACCCAAGTGACCACAAGTTGGAATTCCCGATCCGAATTGCTCATTATAGGATGAAACTTGCCATGTAGACTTTTGTCGGCCATTCCGACGAGGATACAGACTCCTGGTATCCAATTTGTCTGTGAACGGGATGAACGGCCTTGTTTCACTTCGATCCGATGCTTACACCGAATTGAACCTACCCACTTGGGCCAAGGGTAATTATTTCACCATTCCTAATTCCTTACTTCTACCACATGCAATTGCTCCATTTTGCGGTGCAAGCTGGAGATTAGGAATACGTCGTGATTCGATAATAAAAATTGCTTGCTCATGGTTCTTCTGATACGAGTGAGAGGAACGCAAAATACGCATTATTTCAAAATGGAAGCTTGCAGAAAGTGCTGTTGCAGAATAACGTTTTGCAGAAACGAGAACGAAAACGAGCGAGCCCTTAAACGGATCCATTAACTCGTAATTTGCAATTAAATTCAAGCCAGAATCCGCCTGGACGAATTTCGAGCTGGAAAAACGACGGGAGGAGGTCTCACGTGCACTCGGCGTTGCAGGGGCAAGTGATGCTTCCGTTCGCGAAGTTGTGGAATGTCGTCAGCACGCACTGATTGTCCGTGCTATCTGCAAGGATCGGGAGGGGATGACGATCGTGCAAACATTTCTGCGTCGATGACTTATGCAGATCCTACAGGAACTTTAATTCGAAAGCGAAAAGGAAAGAAAAACGCACGGAGGACAACAAGAGACGTAGTGCAATTTTTGTCAGGAGATATATGCAAGTTTATTAAGAATGTATCTTCTGATGCGTTGCCTCGAATTTACGGTTTTGTACAGGGTGTCAATATATGTATGACTCAAATACAATATCTCAATTCAGTAGCAAAATACTTTATCGCCATGAAACCACCCCTGCATAAACCTGTACAAATTTTTGTGGTAATGTCTTTTGTCATAAATATTCATGCCAGTCCCCAACAGCAACAGAATACCCAGCGGTGCGAGATTGCCATCCAATTTTTCACCAACATTTCCTGTGTGAGACTGGCGAATGCTTCTTGTATGTCAGTTTCTTAGGTCTGACACTTCACACATTCTCTTGGCATACATATTTTATTTTATTGGGTCCCCTCACCCACACCACTCCATGCGGTGTGGACGAGGGAGACAATATCCCGGCCAGTGAACTCACCCGGTCCCACACCTTTGGAACTCTGTCCGGGGTTATATCAAAGAAAAGGTGAATACCAAGAGACTCTGATGCGACAGACCCAAGGAACCACACACAGCAAGATTTCACCGGACTTATGTTGGCAACCATATGTTAGCAAGCACACGGGTGGCATTCTCACTGCAGGAAATTGTGCTGTCAGCGAGACAGCGGGCAAGTGGACTGACATGTATATTTCTGACAAAAGACATTATCACAAAAACGTTCAGGCTCATGCATGGGTAGTTTCATGGCGATAGAGTATTTTGCGACTGAATTATGAGAAATAGTTTTTGCGTCACACTTTCATAGACACCCTGTATATCTACATTCATCGAGGTAAGCAAGAGATGCAGACTGTAGGCCTGGATGTCGCAAACTCGGCTTGCGTTCAGCGTCCCGTTCGAGAAGGTGAAGTAGTCTTGGATGTAGGGGACTTTGCACTTGCAACTCCCCACCATCGTCGCCTGCAGACACATCCGCCTGCACATCTGCGTCCGCATACGAGAACAATCTCGTCATTGATTTCACTAGACTCTAGGGGTATTCAACACGAGCGAAGATGCATGAGTGTTTTTCTGATGCTTTTCTTATTTATTATAATTATTGGTATCAGTACTATTATGTTCCTTCTCTTTTGATAATGTTCTTTTTCCAGGCATTTCTGGAATTTTTTTAAGGTTTAGTTAAACCAAGGGAATCGTGCCAGTTCAATTTCCTTGAGAAAAAGTAACCATCCACCTTTTAAAGGATGGAAACATGCAACGTTTACGCCGCGAGAGATGGCAAGAAATCAGATGAGAAAACGGACAGATTGGAAATCGTTAATTTTTATGTTGATATGGGGATTCAATTTCGTTTGAGACAATTTCCTTTTTACCATATCCACTGCCCCCGCGTGTCTCCTGTCATCGATCGAGGCGTTTACTTTAGATGCATCGTTATATGAATATGAATCTTTGAAGATATGTTGCGGGACTGACCTGGACGTCATAAGAGATGTTACCGGAGTTACTCGGATAGTATCCACACTTTTCCCAGGCACTGTAGCAGTCGTGTTCATATGGGTAAGGCAACCTGGACACTTCCACCTTTGAATAAAATACCACGAAGTAAATCAATTATCATTGCTAGGATCTTTATAAAAGTATTTGTGCTTGGCTTTCTTCCTTCTTCGCAAGAGCAAGATCGGTTTGCTCTATCTATTTAAAACATTGCCAACAAATGGATGAGCAGATGAAATAAATATACATTCATGTAATGTAGTCTCTTCTTGAATTGATCTCATCAAGCAATGCAATGAATTTCTTTTCAATGTCAAGTAGTTTGTACTCTGGACGCGTTAGAATACATGCACCGAAAAGCAATATTGCTTAGCCTGAGAGAAATGACAGCATAGATAATGCGCTCTGATGCCATGCCACCGATCGAATTCAACGAAGGGTTACATTGGACAGCCCAATTGGGGCCCTTCAGGTTGCAACAGTCGTGCTTGTAATGGCATCGTAGTTCGTGCAGATATGATTATGAATATGATTTTATTATGCCAACACCTCCACTCCTTGAAATGTAATTTCAAGGAGTGGAGGGGAGTGGAGAGGGGTATTCCATCAATTTTGCAGCAATTTCCATCATCATGAATTGTCATGGATGGAAATTGGTGGGGACTGCTGACCTGACCGTTCTTTCCTTATGATATGCGATGTGTTATTTTGACATCCAGTGTCCATATGACTTGATTTTGCATTTCGCGCCTCTTACTTTATATTAAACATTTCCATGAAGTGAGTATACTCTTTGAAATACGAGAAACGTCGAAAAGAGGAAGAATATAGGAGGATCTAAAATTATGGAATTTTAAAATTGTTGGGACGACTCCAGTAAACTAACTTAAATCCAGAATCCTTCCGCTAAAAAATACTATTGGCGTCGATATTCAAACTTATTTTTCAGAACGCAGCTAAATCTTAGAAACGGAGCATTAAGACCAGAAATGCATCATTCTCATGGATCTTTTTTGGCTGTTGTAACTTGAGTGAGTTTTAAATGTTTTCTTCTCATGTCCACTTAACCCATTCAAATGCACTAAATGCCGAAGTCATTTTTTAGTTTTTCGCAGAAAAGGCAAGGTCAGGTTATACAGACGGGGAGGGTGTCCACATAACCCGATTGCATGGGTTATATGGACATGCAACAAGTAAAATTGAAACGCACGTCACTACTTCTCAATGAATCCGTATCGACAATGATTTTTCCCGATGATTGAGTTCCATCAGAGAACAAAATTTTGTAGCTAGAGTTTTAAGGTTTCATCCAGTGCTTTAGATGTCCATATAACCCATCGTTCTCCTAGGTACTCAGTTTGCACATATTATTCTTGTGCATTTTCCACTGTTCATGTGAAAATCCATCATATGATCCCAATTTGTTTTCAATTCATGATATGTATTTGCTTGGTACTATAGCTTCCCAATATTTCAGACGGCATTGCTGCAAAAAAGCCCAATAGGTTACGTCTATAGTCATAAGGTTGGACCTGTCTGAGAGCAACATTCGTGGCAGAGCCGGCTCTGGCATCGAATCCGGATTCCTCGGGGGAAGGGAGGCTGTCGGGTCGGTGGATGACGACACGGACGCCGCCCCGCGATGACAGCGCACTCGATGGCCACTCGCTTGCATTCAGATATAGCTCCAGATCCAGTCCTGCCGATTGAGCAAATGCGGGTGAAAGAGAACATAGCCGCTTCCTTCAGGAAGTGGAAGCACGAAATAAAACATGCACGATTTATTTAGGTCGGAGAGGTTGAGTATACAGGAATAGCTGTGATCCTTAAAACACTGATGAAGTATGAAAGCCTATCATCTAACACTGGCTAATAGTCTTTCTCTACCCCGAAAAGCAAGAGAATTTTATTAGCACTTTACAATCTTCCCACCAAATACTGATTTGGAATTTTGGTAAAATTTAATATTGAGAAAATCGATTCGATAGACGATTTGATAGGTGCCATCATCTAGGAGTGGATCATAGAAATGTTGCTATGAGCAAAAAAAAAGCTCAAAATTGCTTATTATGTAGTTATTGTGCAACTCCTATTGTTCTTAGACGCATTTTGAAAAATTTATATGCGAACGCGACGGTTTCACTACAACGTGCTTATTACACTGTGTTAATAGTTTGATTAGTCTATTTTTCTGAAAATTAAACTTGCGTATGACTAGTTCGCCCACGCATTTTTTCAGCAAGGTGAAGATGAAATAAAAATAATAGATCTCGATGCTTGCAAAATGAAGCTGCAAGTCCAAAAAATTTTATGAGTCTACAAACTGATTTCACGGGAATTAGGTAGTCTGGGAAATTAACAATTTCTCGTTAAATATCCTCCATCCTCCTGAACTGAAATTTTATTTAAAAAAATTAGAGCATCTTTTTTAAGATGGCTGTTGTGTTATTGGGATGCTTTTTTTAATCAATGATCGGTTGATTAGTGTTCAACTATTTCAAATATGTTTATTAGTATTCATGGAAATTACACTCGAGAGAAGATGTGCGTCAGAAAGATACTTCATACCATAAGGTGGGCCGGTGAAGACAGTTCTTCTGGATCCGGAGGACGGATCAGAGTCGTTGTTAAGAATCAGGTTGAAGGAATAGCAGGTTCCGTAAGTCGTGTTCACGTACGGCAAGAAATAGCTGTAAGGGGGGGGGGGGAAGAGGATTCTCGTGTGAATCGGTCAAGTTTCCCAGAGGAATTGGGATTTGTCGATTTTGTGAATTACCTTCTGCAATCGACGCCCTCGTAGGTACAGGAGCGGATGAACTCGTCTCTGTCTTGCATGATGTGAATCTTCTCGTCCTGGGTCAGATTGGACAGGAGGTACAAGTAAGTGTTCACCGTCACCGTGTCGCTCGCGAATTTCTTGCCTCCTCCTTGCTGCAAAAGAGAGAAAACCTAGAATTGGAAGACTAAAATTAATAAACGAATCAGGGATGATTATCTAAAAACGAAATCCCACACGTTTTGCTGCTTAATATTAAGCTCTAAAAATATGCGGCAGAGCTTTTCGTGACAATTTCTTTTAATTTTAGATATTTTCTCCACCTTCCTTTTAAAATTTACTTTACTTTATTTAAATATTCATATTCCAGGCGGCTTGGAGATGGCGTTCTTGGGGCAAAAGAAAGAAAGTGAAAAAAAAAAGTTCTCGACTCATACCTGTCTACCCCGTGTTCCGTGAGTTCATTTCATTTTTTTCCCAGGAAAAACGCAAGCACAATCAAGGATTCACCTCATACGTGAAGTTTTTAACAGGGTTTATTGATCGTTTCTATCAATAGACGCGGTGTCTCGGTTGATGCATTGTCTCGGTTGCTGGGCAGTCTCGGCCCTTTCAGGGCAATCAGCGGGGTATTCGGGCTATTCAGGGCAATCGGCATGACCATATAGTAATTGCTGAGCTGGCTGATAGATTGATTACTGCCATTACCCTTTCGCACATATGCAGCTTTCCCGCTCAAAATCCATCATCAACGGCGCGAAAGCGATGCATCAAAATTATCGTGAATTATCCTGGGAAGCATCAATGGAAAAATCCTTTCACGCCCATTAACGACCTCGGAATCGATGCGCCGCCTGACGGCGGAGAATGGGCATTAGATTAATTATTGGGCGGATTTCTCGTCATGATCTGACTTCTCATTTTATTATTATTATCAGCAGGTGCCACGGACGTTGATTGAATCGGAATTGGATAATTTCGTTTTGATCGAGTTTTGCTCTGGCGGGGTTGTGCACCTCGCATGACTGACGATGAGACATCAAATGCTTTCATCAGTAACTCCATGCCATCGATATGAACAGCTTGGAAAATGCCTTGGATCCCTGACGCACACGCACTATATGCGTGGATCAGGGAAAATTTGACGAATTTGATATGGGTAAGAGAGTGTTCATAAATTATTATTATTGCTTATTACTATTCATTTCTTTACCTGGTATAGTTGTGCGAACGGATATTTCGGGATCCCGAGTCAAGAATACCGGATTTTAAAAAAATTTTTCAATGGAGTAAGACATGTAATTACTGTTCCGTTCCCAAATCTGATCTCTGAATTGCCAAGGGAAATTGTGAAATCTAACCTTGGGTGAAGTGTTGCTGGATCCGGGCTGTCGATTTCCACATCCTAATATCTGGGAAGAGGAGGGGATTATTGCATCATAACATCTCCTTTCATGTCATATTGTGTGATTCATCTTAGAGGATTTTCGAAGCTTGAATTAGCTCATCGTTAAAAATCCAGGATTAGAATTTTCTTATTGATGGAAAATTTTCGGATGTCCACTTTCATGGTTATTCGAGAGCCATTATAACGAAAGAATTTTAGCGTGAACATCCACAATTTACTGAAGGGTATTATTCTCATCCATGCAACTACCTTTGACAAATCTGAACCGCGTTCAAAAGCCATTGCCTTGGAGCAAGGGAAAGGCGAGAGATTGCAGACGGTCACAGCCGGAAAAGTCAAATATTCCGGAATGATCACGGACACGGTCGTGGAGACCGAGTAATCCAGATACTCCCATATCACCTGGATGATCGCCTGCAGACACGAAAGCGAATTGGAGTCATGCGAGGACCTCCTCGCATCCAAACGGCGGGGAACTCACGTAGACGGTGGCAGCCGTGGCGATCAAGGTGATGACCCACCAAACGAATATCCGGAACGGGTGAGTGGCTCTGCTGGCATTCGTGATGCCATTAATACCGGTGCCGCTGTAAAATTCTCCCAAGACATTCCACATGTTTTCGCTCCAGCCCGCTCTCCCTTTCCCTCCGCGCGAAAGAAACAGACTAAGGTCGGTATATAGGGAACATAGGGTTATCGGTCCGCCAATGACACATGGAGCGGCGATACGTCTTACCCAAATTAATTATTCATTGCTGAGAATCACAGGGCTCCTTTGAGGCCCCCGAATAGAGGAAGATTACAATCCAATAATTGGGAATCTGCAATTGAGCGTGACACTGTCCAATTGCACTCTGCGATGAGCAGCGCGGCATGGTTTGCCAGAAGTTGACTGTTTTTATTTTAAATGCTTTGGGTTTCATCTTAGGAGAAATTTTCTTGCTCCAGACTTCATGCAAAGTGATCAACAGGGATTGCAGTGGGACATTGCGTTTCCAATACGTTTGGTGCTTTGTTTTGCCAGTGGTAAACAAATTTGCCAAATTGTCAACACTTTATTTAAAGACAAAAGTCGCGCCGGATATATTGCGAATGTCTGGCAAAAGATGCGAAAACAGTTTAACGAAAAGAATGGTGACCCAGCAATCTACTATGAATGGGAATTTTGCGAGGAAAGTGCAGGCAATGGAAACCTTGGAGAATGGAATACTTGAATGCAGAAATGGCTTTTCCTGGCAAGCCATGCCGCCACCCTCGTTGCTGCGCACAATTTGACAGTGATGGGCAGCGGTGTAGCGTCGGAGGGGAAAGGGTTCCTTTCGCTTTTCTGCTTTCCAAGAAAAAAAGCTTCCAATTAGTGATCTCATGAGTCCTATAGGACGCATAATTTCCTATACCGAGTCCAATAGTAACTCTGTGAATGTATTGAAATCCAATAGGTCTTCTATAAGACCTAAAGGGACCAAATGGTAAACGCCTCGTACCCTATGAGTCTTGGACATTCCCATGGCCGAAGAGGAAGGTCACTTCCGAAAGCAGACCGTTGCTAAAAATATGTTGTGCACCACTGCTCCAGGGACTCAAGATTTCTCTTAAGTTATCTATAAGAATAAGCCATCTTAAGTTATCTATCTATCTCATAGGATTTTCGAGGTAGTCCGAAGGGATCTTCGCTTTCCTTAAGGATGACTTGTAGGCCAGGTTGTGCAGTATCGTGTCACAGTAAGGACATTGCCAGATTCTATGACAAGAAAAACTAACTCGTAACTGTCCCTAAACGTAACTAAAGGCAGTAAGTTGGCCCTTGAATGAACAAGAGGAAATTAAAGATGCGTGACGCATTCGCCTAAACCCCAGAAACAGTCACGGTTCCGATGTATATAGGATTTTCCCTCCAGTCATATATGTTTATGCCGTCTGCAACAGACGTTGCTATTGTTTAGCATCTGATACGAAGAGTGACTCCTGCACTGGACTGGAATTTCTTAAACAAACCATATGTCTATGCTTTGAAATAATGCTTTTTTGCTTCAGTCGAACTGAGAGACATAGAAAGCTGAAGCTTGAAATAAACGTGCCTACTGAGAGTCTGAGTTCAGGAAAAATTTCGAAATTCAAATGTATTCCCGGGCGGTAGGTTTTTTTGGGGGTTATGTTTTCAAAGAATTTTCTTTTCCCTAGGTAATCATGCAGAAATACTGTAGAAATGTGAAACTTGGCAGACGTATAACTGATATGATGTTGAGTTCGGGAAAAATTTAGCTTTTGTGGTACATCCTCTCAGGGCATAGCCTTAGGACTGCTTTCCCAAATATATTTTTTCCACCAGAGAAAAGGGGAAACGTATAGGCCTAGTGCTGAAACTTGGTGGGCATGGAGTTCTCCGAGTAATGATATCAATAATCATTTTACAATATAGGTAAAACCCCTCAGAGCACATTTCTTTTGAAAGAGGCGCATTTTCCCTTGTCCTTTTAGATCAAACAAACCAGAGAATGATAGCAAGCGAAACCTGGCGCAGAAGAACCTGAAGGATTGCTAAGTAAAGAAAGAAGATGGGAGGTGAACATTTTTTTAGGGTACTGATGTACCTCTTAGTGTTTTACTATTACCTCTTAGTGCGATTATTTTAAGAAGCTAAAGGTCTGGGTTTGTTAGTTTGCCAATGACATGACACAAACTGAAAGTAGCTTGACAGAGCAATAAATACGCCTATGGTCCGATGAGTTTTAACAGATCGGTCAAGACGGACATTACCAACGACTTAATCATCATCTCAGATAATGGAGCGCCGAGGGGGCGGCGATAGCTGGTTAGTTTCTACAAAGGGCAAACAAACTCGCCAGTGCATAATAGTGCGCAGACCATATGTTCATTCCACCCTACATTTAACTAGTTTGTCGCGATTGTATATTTAGGGTATGGGGGAAATCACATCTTGTGAGTGCCTCCAATTTCATAATTGCTAATTTTCCACTAAAATAAATAATACTTATGTATCCAAGAATATGAACCAACGACAATTTAAATAGCTAACAGCTCGTTTTATTTTATCCTAGTGAATTTCGTAGAAATAGAAAGGTGAAACTTGGCACACCCACAGTTGAAATAAGGCTGAGTTCGGGAAAAATTTCTCTTCTGAAATTGGGAGAATTCTTCAATTGCGCTTCGTTTTCCTTCTTTTCTTGAGAGAATAAATGTTTCATTTTTAAAAGGCTTGTGGGCAAGGACTGGGTTTTTGTTACATCATCACAATTTTTTTAATATTTCATGATGCTTCAGGAATGGAGGAAAATTAATCATACCAGTGTAAATTTTCAAACCGTTTGATGAAGATGCCTCTGACCTGTACCTACCAAAGGATGATATCGGTTCTCCTTCGCCTTCCAAACCTCATCCATGGGCTGTTCTCAATTCAAGGATTGACGTAATTTGTAGAAGCAAAAATAAAATTAACTCAGAAGAATAAAGGACTACAGGTAGCGAAACTGATGATGATGAAACTAACCCAGTACAGAGGTGAGTAACTAGCAAGATAAGACGAAGATCGGAATGACGTCCCCCTGAAGCCAGTCGGAGTCGAAGGAAGAATCGATGTGGTGGTGAAGTGGCGAATTATGACCACGAATCGAAAATTGACTACATTTTCATACTGCCTGCTGGGGCGGAAGTGTGGACGGAAGGGAGCGTAAGGAGAGGGGAGGAGGTAGAGAGGCGTGAACCCCTCAAAATAGCAATGTCTCTTATCGGAATGCTCACTCTCCAACCCATGGCAACAAATATTGGCTCGATGCTGGACCGACATTGGGTACGTTGGCTGTGTCGTGGTCAATATTACCAATATTGGGTAAATATCGGCTTTTCGAGATTGCCATTCCATCATCTATCCAATATCGGACCGATGCGATGATCCAATATGCCCATGTTGCACTTGAAAGTTTCTGGGAAATGCTGAAGTTCCCTTCCAGGAGAACTACATGGAGATATGGGTCTCGCATTTCTCACAGTACACAAAGGCACCCTTCCTCTATTCGTGGAATCCCTCTCACAGGAGTGCTTTGTTACTCTCCATTTGTCTCGCCTGACCTACTTATAGGAATAAACAAACTTTGACACTTCCTTATTCGCTATCCCCATATTCGAGACAGAAACATGTAAGCCCAGATCATAAAGAAGCTCATATTAAAGAATTAAAGAAGCTCATAGCCCTATGAGAAATCCATTCGGAACAAGGCATACCTCACCCAACGGGCGCATCAGAAAAGTTAAAGAAACTCAATCAGGATTTGCAAAGTCCTTCTTTACTGCCCTGTATCCGCCGAGATTGAAATCAGTTTTCCTGGAACAATAAAGCCAAAAGAGGGTAAGCAGTGCATGGGATAAAAGAGAACTGAAAGATGTCATGTCAATCGCATGGGAAGACCTGAAGAATTCTGAATGATTCTTAATTCTGGATTATGTTCTTCAAAGCGAGATTAGTTGGTGAATACCACTCCGGAACCATTTTATCCACCGCTGCATAATTTTATCATTTTGTCCATTTTGGGTGCCGGTCTGGTTGAGGATCGCCCTGGCGCCGGCACCCCCGACGACAGCGCGCTCGACGGCCACTCCCTCGCGTTCGCGGTGGACTCCAACTCGCTCCAGTCGATCGGACGAGTTGAACGGGGCCTTCCGCGCTGCTTCAAGGCGGAGGCATTCCATTGATGATTTCGCAGTGAAAACGCCTTGGTGGTTTCGTCGAAAGGGAATAACCGACTTTCGTTCCCAATGACATTCATTCGCGAGTAATTTCCCGGGAGATGCCGTTTGTACATGGCAGAGGTGCCCACTCGCGGAGTCGATTAATCTTCGTCATCCGTGGATAATACCAGGAATTATCGATGTCGTGGGGATCTTGCATGGGTAGCAGACAGCCTCTTGTGAAGAGAAAAAAATTACTTGCTGAATTATCTGCGTTCTTGAGCAGGCATTGTTACCATGTGACAGACAAAATTAATGGTTTACTCTTGTTTTACTTGCATTAGTAATGGCTGATATGCGAGCAGTCGACAAAAGAGCAGAAAACGGACGTCACGAGAGATGCTCTACAAACAGCCTTCATTGCTTCTTCTGAGTTTTCTCTCCAACGTTACGGAGAAATTCACAAAAAAAACTTTTCTATGTTTGCGAACAAGTAATGTCGAATCTCTGGAAATGTTCTCTTTTTGACGCTGTGGGGGCTTCCGTAGTTCTAAGTCGTCCTGAGCTTTGGTGGCTCTGAGAGCCACCATTATACGGAAGGCACCCTTATACGGGCCAGGGATGACGGATTGTCTGGACCCGGCCTCTGCACCGCCGTCATGGTTCAACTTCGAGTTGCAACCGGAGCAGCTCGTGTTCGCCCGTCAGGTCGGAACCGCTGGCAAACCGTTCCTTGGAATGGAGATACAGACGGTGATCGAAACGCCGAAGAGGGGATGGGGAAATTCGAGAAACTCGATCCGGATATTGAAAACCGAAGTCCTCTGTTACTGACCTTAATCCGCCAAGATAAAAAGTAATTTCCCGGGTCAATTAGGCCAAAAACAGGGTAAGGAGTGAGTGGGATAGAAAAGCAGTGAAAGAATGCATTAAGGCATATGAATAGACTGGGAAGGCCTGAATAATTTAGAATATATTAAATTCTTTCTCAAGAGGGACTAAGAGTGAATATGACGCCCGAATCTCTAACCCTGGCACATATATTTACCACTGTGTCACATTAGAGAAGATTGTCCGTGATAGCTTTTTGCTGGGAAATAGTCCGTGTGAACAGGTGCATGCGGTACCGAAGATGTACTCGAACTGGAAAGAATGAAACGGGAGAGAAAACGACCGAAAACGAATCGCACATTAAAGTCAATCGGGCTTCACGACCCATGCCGAGGAGATTGGGTATTCCAGGCGAGCGATCCGCCGAGACGCCCGCTTCCTGGGTGGGGGATTCGCCGTCGGTGCGTGACCAATCCCGAAGCACCTGTTGACGAATGCCAAGGCGATCAGGGGAAGGATCTCGATGATTTCCAGGAACATGACCATGGAGATCCCCAAGTACAGGCTCAGCGCTCCTCCCAGGTTGCTCAACAGGCTCGTGCTCTGACGGAACGGGAACGCAGACATCACCACGACGGAAACACGCGAAGAAATCGTCCTCTTTCAATTCGCGTCTGGTAGCGCGCTCGTTCGCCCGCGGATGTCACAGTCGTCGCTTGGAATCCAAAATCTCTATCATATGTTCCTTCTTCTACGTTTGAGATTTTCGATATAGGTGGACCTGACACGCCGCGGTGCTTCGGCGGGTTGCATGCCCGGAGCAATTCGGGCAAACAGAGAATCATCGCATCGTGGCGATGCGATATCTCTCGATAGTGCTATTAACTGCGTCTCTTCGATGCAGATTGTACGAGTGTCGATCGAGGATTTCCGGACAGGTTCTGGAACTTTCTTGGAGCGTAGATGCATGGAATTTCTCCTCGCGTTTCCTCGCCCGAGCGACCCAACCGGCCTTTCGGGTTCACAGTGGTGGTGCAGTGATACTAGAGGAGAATGTTTTTGAAAGGAGGCCGAAAACCACGCTCGTAGGCATTCGTTACTCGCTGCGCAAACCTCGAGCTCGCTTCACCCTGCTTCGGTAAAGAAATACTCACGGGCCTTATTTTCCATTCTGCCCGAACTGAGTTCTCCAACTGCCTCTAAGAAAATGACCCTTAACCAACGACCCTAACTAATGAGCCTTAATTAAAAAGCCTTCACTAACGACCCTTAACGATAGCAATGACGTCTTCTTCCAGAAGTTCTCTGAAGCGAAAAAACATCTGACGTGGGGGAAACATGGTTGAATCTTCGATCGTGTATTCTACAAGTACTATTCAATTCTAGGACTGTAAACGACTTACCAAGGAGTCATAGGTGACGAAGGTGGAGTTCACCGGATGGTACCCGCACTCGTCCCACGAGCTGTAGCAGTCACTTTCGTACGGATGAGCCATCCTCGACACTTCCACCTACTCGCATATGAAAATCAAATGAATTTTTTTAGGAATGCGGATTACATATATGAACGTCTGGTTTGAGGAAAGTTTCTGCTTGCAGTTTCTGACGGTTAGTTCTTTTTTCTCTATGAGAGCACCACCATTTTCATGCTATACATGGTTCGATTTATTTCAGAAAATACTTGTTCTCATACTAGTACTTTCAAAAATTTGTAATATTTCCTCCGTAGCTGTACATTTCATTCATACCTCATCTTGCAATTGTCGTTTCTCAATTTCACATTTCCCACTCACGATCACGAGTGCGTCGAAAGCATCGATGAATCTCGACCTAAAATTTGTAATATTTCCTCCGTAGCTGTACATTTCATTCATACCTCATCTTGCAATTGTCGTTTCTCAATTTCACATTTCCCACTCACGATCACGAGTGCGTCGAAAGCATCGATGAATCTCGACCTGTCTGAGGGCAACCTTGGTGGCGGTCCCGGTCCTGGCGTCGAATCCGGACTCCTCGGGGGAAGGGAGGTTGTCCGTCTGGTGGACGATCACCCGGACGCCGCCCTCCGACGACAGCACGCTGGACGGCCACTCCCTCGCGTTCACGTACAGCTCCAGCTCCAGTCCTGCGGATGGATGAGCAATGGTGAGCGGGGACCGTCCACTCCGCAGCGAGACGGGGGCATTTCGTTTGCCGATCGGCGACGAGAGAGAGCGCCGAGATGATTTTGTCGTCGGGCGATATCTACCTGCATTTTCGATGACGGAGGTATTGTTCTCGAATAATAACACCTGGGAGATGCAGTTGATACGTTTCAGAAGGGCGCATTCACCGAGTCCATTTATCTCTGTCGTCAGGGGACGATACGTAGGATTATCGATATTATAGCCTGCGTGCATGGGTACCATTCAGTCTCCCCGTGAAGAGAAAATATTTGCTTGCTGGATGACCCATGATTTCGAGCAGGCACTGGTACCAGGTTAATGGTAAAAGTAGTGGTTTGCTCTAGTTTTACTCGTATTGCCATTCCGGACGGTGATATGCGTGCAGTCGACAAAATGGGACCAAAGGAGAGCTACTCTACAAAAAATCTTTATCGAATCGTCCGAGTTTCCTCTTTTGGACGTTTCAGAGAATTTCTACATTATTTTCCGAGTTTGCGAGCCCATAATGTCCAACCTCCGGAAATGTTCTCTTTTGTCGACTGCGTTCGCTTCTTTAGTAACAAGTCGTTCCGAGCCACGGCGACTCGGAGAGCCAAGGAACTCACCGCTATAGGGGCCGGGGAGGACCGTCCGCCTGGACCCAGCCTCTGAATCCCTGTCCTCGTTCAACTTCATGTTGAAGGCGTAGCAGCTCCCGTAGCTCGTGTTCGCGAAGGGAAAGAAAAACCTGCGAGCGAAATCGGATTTCACCGAATGCAGACGAATCTCCTCGAAGGAAAAAAAACAAACCTTTTGCAGTCGACGCCCTCGTACTTGCATCCGCGGATGAAATCGTCCCGATCCTGCAAGAGCGGCAGCTTCTGCTCCTCGCTCAGCCGCGAGAGGACGTAGTAGTAAGAGTTCCCTGTCGTCTGATCCCTCGCGACTTCCTTGCCTCCGCCGCCGTCGACCTTGGGGGGGGGGGGGGGGGATCGGACTTACTTCCCGGGAAAGGGACCGCGAACGCATTTCCTCGGACATTTGCGCTCGGTCGACGGTCGCGATCCCTTCGAATCTCTACAGAGTTCCCCGTGCATCACCGAGAGGATAGAATGACACAGGCTGATATAAAGAAGACGGATGATGTCGGTGGCGTGATTGCGTGGGAAAATGATGAGCGTGAAGGGTTCAGTCATTCAATTCATTCGTATGTACAGTAAGAAAGTAAATTGTGAAGAATGAAGTATTGTCGCATTTTTAAACATGCTATTTGAAAAGATATTACTGTCGAATTTTAAAATTGTCGTTTCATGATGATATCAGCCTGCAGGGACGATGGTATGAGAAAACGATGGAACGGCATACGCTGAAGAGCCCAGCCTGAAATCCGGAAAAGCCAGACGGCGCATATCTCATCAGCCGGACTTTGCGAATTGCAGTCGTTCTGCCCGCCTAGCCTTCCCATGATCTTTGCCTATTTACTGGGGTTCTCGGGGGTGTCGGCCTTAGTTCGCGGGTCTGATTCGGCAGGATGAGGTCGGACGAGTTGGAAATCCTTCTCATTTCACTCGCATGCTTGTGCCAGATGGAATCCCCAACTCGGAGGGAACATTTTAGAAAAATCCGCTAAGTTCTCACCTGAGATGAATTCCGTCCGCTGGATTTCGTCTCATTCACGCTGGATGTTGTCTGATTTGCAACGGGGCACCCTAGTATCTGGAAAGAGGATTATGTGTCGTTTCATTTTCATCGACGGCTTTTTGTTTAGGACGTCTGAGATGCCATGATGTCCTCATTGAAGTAGGACTACGCATTCTCGCACAAGAAACAATGGTACTGATGCTGGAATCATTTTAAGTAGACTTCGCCAGGTAACGAAGACGAGATCGGGGGGTTTGCGCAACGCGGGAAGAGGTGTCGGCAAGAATCTAGTTGATGCTACGTAAAAGAATGAAATGGATAAAATTCCCAAAAAAAGTGGAAGAGAAGTATGAAGAAAACGTCTCATTCCTCTATATTCGCTGTTAGCCTAGTCGAGTTATAATTTCTTTATAACGGAAGAAATATCTGTGGAGGGGTGGGCGGTGAAATGCAAAGGGAATGATCAGAGACTACGGTTGAGTACTTTTCTGAGAGTAAGTTTCATGCGAGATTCCGTTTTCCCCCTAAAGACGGTAAAAAAGTATAAAATAAGTGGAAACAACTTCTTTTAGGTGTTGAATTGCTCGATTACCGTCCCGTTTCAGTACCTTTGCCAATTCGGCAACGTCGCCCTGTTGCGTGAATTTGGAGCAGGGGAAAGGCGAGAGGTTGCAGACGGTCACGGCCGGGAAAGTGAGAGACTTCGGTTGGGTGACAGACGACGTCGTCGAGACGGAATATTGGAGATAGGCCGTTATCACGCCACAGATTCCCTGCGAGAGTGAGGTCGAGCGAGAAAGATTCATCGGGAGGGGAAATACCGAGGCCGACATTGCAATCGTCAAGGACTATATTCATGCGTATCGAATCTGGAAGATTGAAGGAACTCACCTGGACGGTGGCGCCGGCAGCGACGACGGTCACGACCCACCATATGATCTTCCGTAATGGATGAGTGGCTCTGCTGGCATTATTGATGCCATTAATCTGGGTCGTGCTGTAGAATTCTCTCAAGACATTCCTCGTCGGCGCGCACCAGCTCATGCTTCCCGTTCCGCCCTCCTACCGCAAACGTTCCCCGCCGCTGACCGACCCGCACGGAGGAGTGGGAAGGCATCGATGCCTTCTCGCTCGGCTGTTCGCCCCTCGAAGCGACGTGCATCGATCTTGGGGGAGTTTCTCGTTGTAGATGTTGAGAGCTTGCGTGATCCTCGTAAGAAAGGGGCACCTTCTGATCATGCGCAAATTTATGAAAGGAGGCTGCCCGAAATTCGTCTTTTACATTGAGTCGTCCGAGTTTGAGTCTTGCTCGGTTTCGTTTATTAACGTCGACGTGTAATTGTTTCCTGTCCCGCAGGCGTTTCAGACGCTTTCAATTCATGGATTGGCAATAGCAACGTTAAAGGTTTGAGAAATAAGAGAAATGCATTTGATTGGAACCGGGTTATACGCGATAACAAGCGCTTTGAGCATGAATTCAGGTATTTAAGGAGCAAGATCACGGAAATGGCATCTGTAGGTGAATCATGAAGCTTGCCTGAACTGGTGATAAGATACCTCTGATTGAGGGGAAACCGAATGAAAAAAGGGGAAATGCCATCGAAAGACCTGAAGACGAAGTCACTTCGTCATCGCGAGTCCAATTAATGCTACGAGCTTATGGACTATCCGTATCCTAAAAACAGACCGTTATCCAAGTAAGTCGATTGTTCCCTCGAACAGAAACCAGATGCGGACGTGAGGTCTTTCGGTTTCGCCTATTTGATCCCGGATAATGCGATCCGTGAAGCGCGTTGCCGTGAAGACTTGCTCATGCGATCGATGCGGGTCTGTCGAATCTAGATGGACGGTTATTGCTCCGGTGAGGAACAATTGGTCTTCGCCGTCGCGGTAAGGGAGAAACGCAGTAATGGAGAAAGGAAGTTGAGACTGATGGTAACATTAAGTGAGAGGATAATGATACTCATCATTGACGGAACCTTGAACCGATCTCACAAAAGCCAGAATACTCGAGTAGGAATACCTATTGATGGAGAACCCTATCGGTCATGATCGAGGATGATGAGGCGGCGAAAAATCGATGAGATGTGACGAGCCAGGGTGTCGAAGGAATTCCCATTAGGGATGATTTTACCACGGACGAATGCGGTCGAGGAATTGTCAACTCAGGGAACATCTTTAATTAAACTGAGGATTACCAACCTCACAATGGAACAATTTGACCGGGAAGGGGGAAGGGGAAGGACATCGTGTAGAATCCCAATTTCTCGTCTTCAATTCTTGTTGTGTGGTCAATTGTCTACACGACATCTGATATTGAGAGCGAAGAACGGAACGAGAGACTGATTCGATCGACTCAAGTCCTAACGCGAGACTCTGACGCGCTAAAATCTTCGTAAAACAGCGGCACGAGAAACCGATTGTCTGAAGATGAGTCAAATGCACAGGACTTAACTGCGCATTCAGCAAAAAAAAGGAATCCGATTCACCGTCCCTATAATTTTTCCGTGCTGCATTCTGGGAGTCCGTTCGGGTGGGTACACGACGAAAGGAGCCGAATCAGCTTTCGGCCCGAGCAGCACGCGGTGAAACAATAGTTGAATCGTTATTTTTTAAATATTAACCCCTAATGGTCCCACATCTCTATGCATGGACAACAGGGAACTCGTTGTTATGAGGGGCCTCCAATGATCGCATTCACCGCACGGTGAGGCATTGGGAAATTATTCATGTCAGCGACCGTCCTCCTGAGAGACTGCCAGGCACAAAAGGACCTGCAGCGGCCCAATAGTAACACTATAATTTCGGGTTAATGAGTCGATATCGGAATTACTTTAGTCTGTACGAGAAGTTCTTGGTACTCGAACCTTAAAGATCTCATCAGGGCATTCAGTAATAACTTCTAAGTAGATTTTTTTAAATTCAGAAGAGAAGACATATTCATTAAATATATGGAAATACAGTGTATTTGCATGGTCGTGACTGCATGATTGAGTGACTCACGCGAATTCCATGCATGTTATTGACCTGGGAGAGCTTTGAAACTAGGTACACAAGTAATTGTCAGGGGCTGAGATCAAGGAAAATAACACTATGGAGGTACATTTCCAAAGGGCACATTTTTCCATGAAAACGATTTTCGGTAAACTCGGCAGATAAAGAGAGCTGTGATTTCGTTCCCAAATCGTTGTTGAGGGATGTTGAATTCAGGAAAATTCTACTTCAGGAGTATTTTTTAACCCTTGCTAGCAAAACGTTGTTTGTTTAGGGGTGGGGGGAATTACATCTCTGCTGTTGACATAAGTCGCGGCTTTTCAGGTACATGCCCTGAGAGCACGTCTTGTATTTTCAAGGGGCGTTTTTCATGAAGTTTATTTTTGCCACAATGAATCGCGGTGTACGGACAGATGAAACGTGGCGCACTAGCTGCGTCGTTGAGTGTTGGTTTAGATTAAAAGTACCACTTTTGTATGATGTATCTCTTAGAGATAAAGGAGGATATTTTGGCCCTCAAACTGATTTCAATGAATCATATATCATTTCGAAGGGTGTCCCTTATAGAATGATAAAATGCCACTTTTACTCCAATCTGAAGGGTTTGAAAAAGTTATGCTAGATTACGATGAAGTTATGTCGCATGAGTTGTCGATCAGAAAAATATTTTTAGCAGTTTTGATTGACGGGAGATACAGACTCCAAAAAATCAATTAAATTACAATTGCATTGTATTTTATAAAATCTCAGTATGTACCTACGAAGCATTACCTTTCATATAATAACACCTTAAAACTTTTTTGAGAGATGTTCTAATTGTCATCTAAAGTTCACCGATTACTTTCAAAACAATGTTCATTCTAAGTTGTTGGCTATGCCGAAGGCATTTATTGCAAGTCCCATTTGAAAACAGTAATATAATTTAATCTAACCTAACCCAACTTTTTGAAACACTTCACATTTTGATTTTAAAATTTTAAAATTTACGTTAACAAATAAAACTGATAACATGAATCTTAAATTCATAAAAATCGGTTAAAGGCCAAAAATGGGCTAACCTAAGCTAAGCTAACCTAACCTAACCAAACGTACCTATAACCTAACCTTAACCCATTCGGCACAACAACGTTGTATCAACATTGAGAATAGGTTGAAACGTTGAGACTTAGTTGAAGTTGAGAATTCGACGAAAAATCAACATCAGTGAAATGCTAGCTATTCATAATTAACCGTATTTTCAGCATTNGGACAAGGGGACAGGGGACAGGGGGACAGAGGGACAGGGTGCTCGTCGTGGGGAGTAGAGGCTGCGCAACTCGATGACTTCGCTCCCCGTTCGTCACGTGGAACCATACCATTAGGGTAAACCATTATATATCGTTATCAATAGACTTCGCTTACGCGGAAAAGAAGCAGTCTGTTTTGGAGCTCTGGCGCCTTTATTTCCTTGCGATGCTCTTTGGGGGAAGACAAAAGAATGAAGTCCGAGGACGAACCGATATCCCGATTGCCAGGAATCCAAAAAGATGACTCATTTTCCCTTTATTTGAATCGAATTCGCCGCACGTAAACGACATTTGCGTCGGCGTCCATCGAAAACGAGAAAGCGATGTAGACATGGAATTTCAGCAATCGCATTCAAAAAGTATATAAACGGACGAGTTCCAACCGAACTCTAATTTTTTTTGTCGGTTCTACTTCGATGACAAGGCCGCAACGTTGCTCGGAAAGCTTGGAGCGAAGCGGTACATCGTGCCAATGAGCTCCTGGACTCTTACCTGCGTATCGCCTAAATCAATCCCATTCGGCACAACAATGTTGTGTCAACGTTGAAAAAAGGTTGATGGCAATGTTGCCTCTATGTTGAGAAAAGGTTGACTTTTCAACGTAAAATGTTGCCATGATGTTGCCACAATGTTGAAATGAAACACAGCTCAACGTTGAAAAGTTGATGCTCTGCGACGTTGTGTCAACGTTGAATTTTCAACGTAAGGGAAAAAACAAGCACCAGCCCGGTCTGGCGAATCCATTCATGACCGTTGAATGCCATGCTCCAGAATCGATACATCGTAAAATGTGCATGGCCATTTCGCGATTACCAAGAGAGTGGCAGGGCATTCTTGGGTGGATGGACTCCTCAATGGACTCCTCAACGAAGGTCGCTATCGGTTTGCTTACCATCATCGTGTTGGAATTGTACTTCATTTTCTCATGTAAAACTCCGCGTTGTTTTTCGTATTGATCACGATGCAATATGAACAACTGGGATTCGGTGGCTTCAGCATGAATTATCGACTAAGTTTCCTTACAAGAAGGTCACGAATATATGATTTCTTTCAACATTGATCTCTTTGGTTTTTACGGTCTCGGTGTCTTCATATCTTCCTGTATAATTTTAAATCCTGATAAAAATTTTAAATAAACATGATGGACGGCTTTGGAATTCCTAGAAAGACGCCTTGAAGGAGGTAACCGATCAGAAGGAGACTCCCGATACTCCAGGCCAGGCTGTTGCCATGCTGTTGCCACAATGTTGAAATGAAACACAGCTCAACGTTGAAAAGTTGATGCTGTGCGACGTTGTGTCAACGTTGAATTTTCAACGTAAGGGCATTATAGTTCCTCCTCTCTATTCCTGGGTTTGAATGAGCTTTGATTGTCGGATGAAATTGAATACGGACTCGATAACTCCAAAGATGGTTCCCAAGAGATATGATACTAGCAGTACCCTACCGAGCACAATCATCCCACGTAAAGGACCCTCAGAGTTTTATTTCTTCTACTGAATGAGAATTCACATTGAGTCACATGACTCAAGTACCTCTCGATCCAGTAGAGGAAAACAACCTAGCGGGCATGGTTTCTATTCTCTTTCCATCATGGATGAGTCTGAGTAAGGGCGCGTGCCATGTGCAGATTTAGGAAAATTGAGCGTGTCTCCTCGGACCCACTAGCCAGGAGTACATTGGGTCTCCTTCTGCCTGATTACCTCCTTAAACATGTCTATCTAGGAATTCCTATTCCTTCCCCTATGCTGTAAATGAGAAATGATTGAGAACTGTATGAAAAACGCAAGGGTACTGGTTATTAATATTTAAAGGGATCAGGATAAGAATCGCGGAATTGGCGGTTATGTGCCATCTCGCGTCGATTTGTAGAACCTATTTTCTGTTGATATGATGTGGATAACTAAACGTAAAAACAACATTGAGAAAACGATTTTTTTTTAATTTGCTCTTAATAGCCTCTGAACGACTTCCTTAATTCACGAGTAGTCACCAAATGCTGAAATTACGGTTAATTAAGAATAGCTAGCATTTCATTGATGTTGATTTTTCGTTGAATTCTCAACCAAGTCTCAACTTTTCAACCTATTCTCAATGTTGATACAACGTTGTTGTGCCGAATGGGAACTGTTACAAATTTCTCAATTTGTAAAAAAAATTACATTTTTAGGTTTGGCTAAGGAAATATACACATAACTTTGATCTTGGTTTAAATGCCGAAACTGGGCATACCCCTATAAGGGGCTGTGATTTATTTATTTCGTCTTTTTTGGACAGATGCGATCGAAAAGTGAAATTAGGATGAAGGGTAAGAGCTAATTACCGAGGAAATGCTACTTTTTCTATATATTCCGGGGGCGAAATTATTTTCCATTTATTTGATATTTTAATCATTTTTTTTGGGAGGGGAGAAAAGAAAGTAAGCGAACAGTCAATGACATGAAGTTTGACATGATTTAAAAATACTCGGCGATTGATCGTGGGAAGAAACAAGCACCAGCCCGGTCTGGCGAATCCATTCATGACCGTTGAATGCCATGCTCCAGAATCGATACATCGTAAAATGTGCATGGCCATTTCGCGATTACCAAGAGTGTGGCAGGGCATTCTTGGGTGGATGGACTCCTCAATGGACTCCTCAACGAAGGTCGCTATCGGTTTGCTTGCCATCATCGTGTTGGAATTGTACTTCATTTTCTCATGTAAAACTCCGCTTTGTTTTTCGTATTGATCACGATGCAATATGAACAACTGGGATTCGGTGCCTTCAGCATGAATTATCGACTAAGTTTCCTTACAAGAAGATCAGGAATATATGATTTCTTTCAACATTGATCTCTTTGGTTTTTACGGTCTCGGTGTCTTCATATCTTCCCGTATAATTTTAAATCCTGATACAATTTTAAATAAACATGATGGACGGCTTTGGAATTCCTAGAAAGACGCCTTGAAGGAGGTAACCGATCAGAAGGAGACTCCCGATACTCCAGGCCAGGCTGTCCGAGGACATATGCCGAATTTGGCCTACCTTGCTTAGCGCCACATTGACTTGTGCTCTGATAACCATATCGAAAAATGACTGCATGCCAATCGGTCGGCAAGTGTGTGTATGGCTCTCATCCTTGAGCGTACGTGAGTATCGCTATGCCCAAAGTGGGCGATATGGAAAATCATTCCTTAAGCAGTTATCCGCTTTTAAATGCGTCTAAAGTCTTCTCTTCTATGACTAAAGATTCTAGAGCAAACAGGAAACAGGAGTTTTACCATTTTTCTTTATTGTGAACCAGGATTTGACGGCTTGTAGACTGTCTCTAGCAAAAATACTGATGATGGTAACGAGAACAACACTTAATAAACTTATTGGATTATGTGTCACAGGTATTTCAGACGCATTCTTGACTCGAAATTAGGATGAAAGAGAAGGACTAATCTAGTCGCTGAAAACGTATACCCATCACAAGTAAAAATCTTTGTGAGATAAAGCAAGGAGAGAAGACTAAGGTGCGTAGGAATCGCAAGCGTACAAATAAGGACTTTTCTCTCCAACGTTTCCAAGAAATAAAAAAATTTTTTCTATGTTTGCGAGCGCGTAATATCCAATCCCTGGAAAAGTCCTCTTTTCGTGGGGGCTGCCGTAGTTCTAAGTCGTGCTGAGCTTTGGTGGCTCCGAGAGCCACCATTAGACGAAAGGCACCATTATACGGGCCAGGGATGACGGCTTGTCTGTACCCGGCCTCTGCACCGCCGTCATTTTTTAATTTCGAGTTGAAGCCGGAGCAGCTCGTGTTCGCCTGTAAGGTCGGAACCGCTGGCAAACCATTACTGACCTAAATCCGCCAAGATAAAAAGTAGTTTCCTGGATCATTTAGGCCAAAGCAGGGTAAGGAGTTAGTGGGATACAAAAGCAGTGAAAGAAAACATTAAGGCATATAAATCGGCTGGGAAGGCCTGAATAATTCAGAATATATTAAATTATTTCTCAAAAGGGACTAATAGTGAGTAAGACGACAGAATCTCTAACCGAGGCACATATATTTACCACTGTGTCACATTAGAAAAGATTGCCCGTGGTCGCTTTTTGTCCATGTGAAAAGGTGCATGCAGTACGGAAGATGAACTCGAACTGGAAAGATTGAAACGGCAGAGAAAACGACCGAAAACGAATCACACATTAAAGTCAATCGGGGTTCACGACCCATGCCGAGGAGATTGGGTATTCCATGCGAGCGATCCGTCGAGACGCCCGCTTTCTGGGTGGGGGATTCGCCGTCGGCGCGTGACCGATCCCGAAGCACCTGTTGACGAATGCCAGGGCGATCAGGGGAAGGATCTCGATGATTTCCAGGAACATGACCATGGAGATCCCCAAGTACAGGCTCAGCGCTCCTCCCAGGTTGCTCAACAGGCTCGTGCTCTAACGGAACGGGAACGCAGACATCACCACGACGGAAACACGCGAAGAAATCGTCGCCCCCCGAATCGAGACCCACCGTCACGCTCGCGGACTCCACGATCGTCTCCTGGTCCATCGACGAGAAGTACACGACCACCCTGGCCACCTCCGTCTTCATCGTGACGTTGACGTCCCGTTCCGGGTGAGGTTCCATCCCCATCGACTCCATCGCAGCAGCCTCGAGAATTTGAGAATAAATATTATTGCCGGAATTTTGGCAAGCTCGCGAGCATCATCATGATGGTGGGACTCGCCATGTAGGTCGCGGTCGGCCATTCCGACGACGAGATCGTCACCTTGTATTGCGTTTGCCTGGAAACGGGAAAGAAAAGACTCGGATCAACTGGCATCGCATATTCTATGACAGATTCGAGGCAGAAACGAGAAACCAAAAGATTGTATATCGATTCTAGTCGATGAAAGACAAATATTTCCTTGTCACTTGAAAAATCCTGCAGGGAATAATTTGCAAAGTGCTCCAGATGAACGCTTTGAAACATTCATTTATTCCTGAAGGCATTGTGACAACTGACCTCGTCCAACGTGAGATCGGTTAGGACCAGAACGTTTCTATTTGCCGCCCGATGCAAGTCCTGGTACGAGCTCATTCACGTAGATGTCGCGCCTCACCTCTGACCTTTGACCTCGGTCTAGTGGTTCTCCTTATTTACCTTTTGAGAGCAGTTTTGCTCACTGCCAGCCCTCTTTTTCTTTTAATTCTTTCGATCATATATGGGAGGAAATAAAGGCAATTGCTTTTGGGATCGGACACACCCGTTGAGTGAGGTTTCCCCCCCACCCGAAGAGGTAATACGAGGGAATGAAGTTCCAAGGAACTTAATGCCTTCGTACCTCGAGGTCTGGGAATGAAATTCCAGGACGGATTTTTTTTGCGAATCTGTCAAATATCACAAACATTATTTTCATTCCTTTCAGATTTGACTGCTGGGCAGTGTCGTATCAGTCCTCATCTAACCAGCATCTTGAATGATAAATTGTCTGGCAATTTAAGAACTCATTGCGTAAGGCGTCTGTCATATTCCAAGAGTGAAGCAATGCTTCATGGCATTTTGTCCCATTCCGGGAATACAGCTCCAGCGATCCATAAAATGTTTCTAGAAGTGTATTGAGAAGTCGTCTCATCATACTCCAAATATCTTGAATTGTTTTTTGGCTTTCAGCCAGTAGAATTGACATTGAAAAATATGACCGATTCAGCCATCCCTTGGGTGAATGATTGGTGATGGTCGGGGTCGAGGTGGATCTGGGTGTCTTCATTACTTGCTAAAGGCCTTGAAGGACATTCGAAACTATTGGAGCATAACAAGGGACATTTCAAGACGCTTCGGCAACTTTTCATAGATAACTGCAGCTGTATTGATCGGTTTGAGACAAAATACCATGAAGCATTGCTTCGCTCTGGGAATCTGACAGACGCCTTACACACTGAGCTGCTACATTGCCAGTCAAACACATTCAAGATGCTAGTCAGATGAGGTCTGACACAACACTGCCCAACAGCCTGATCCATGGAATGAAAATAATTTAATAATTTAATAATAAAATAATTTATGTGTGACTGACAGACTCAAAATAAAAAATCAGTCCTGGACTTTTATTGCCAGACCTCGTACATCGCTCGTTACGACTTCCACTGTCTGAATTTGCATTCATCCCTGACGAATGATAAGTAACTCCCTCAAGATTTTCTTCCCTTTTTTCCTCGAGATATGTCATTCCCGAGCTGTCGTCCCACTCCCCGTTGGGATTGGACTTTCTCGACCATGCCTTCCTCTTCTTAAAGCGAATGTGTCACCTCGATACCACTCGACACCGGTGTCCACCTGACGAACGGCAGTCCGTCGGTAGTTTCGGTTAATCCGTTTCGCTTTCTTTTTTGGTTCGATCCCGACTGCTGCTACCCTTCGGAGCGCGCCACCGGCTTTATATACGTCACCGGCACCTTTCAAGCCCATCTAATTTTTTCTCTGTCTCTCATTTTGTTAGTACCTCCAGAAGAGATGCAGACTGGCATCAATTCTGACCGATTGTGTTGAGACTCCCAACATCATTTAGCGTCCATTTAATAGCCCGCTCTCATCTAGTTGATAATCTCTTCCATGTTTCATTTGACAGGCGCAAATCTTCATTGAAAACTGGAGGAGAAAGCCGATGGAGAGTTCCTAGAGTTTTCATATGAAGGAGTCCATTCCCCGCGCCGAGTGATTTGGCACTGCTCTGCCCTTTCAAACAATAGGAGAATTTCCCATCCGAATGGTAGCAATTTGTTTCACGTCTCGACATGTTTAAAATTGAAAGGAATTCCTGGTAGACCAATGATTGAAGCATTAGAGCCATTTCCCTAACTTTGAGAAACTCCGATGTTCCACCACTCAGGGGGATTGGAGAGGGAAAGGGCTTCATGCATGGGGCGCTCGTCCGCAGAAGCGATTAGGGAGCGCATCGTATGTCGCTGAAAATTCACTTACCCTTTTCGAGGGGCAGCAAAGCGTATGATAAAATTAAGCTAGGAAACATCTGATACATGATATAGGCAGAAGCAAAGCATCTTACAGGTTAAATGAATTTGAAGAATTATCTTAAAAAAATAATGGTATGGCAGAGCCCCGAGTGCTTCCTGTTTCTTCTCGGGTGGAATCGCCAGGGACAGACTCACCGGCACGGCGCATTACAGGGACACGTGGTGCTCCCGTTCTTCAATCCATCGAAAACGCCGAGAAGGCACTGATAGTCTCCGGAGCCTGCAGCGATGAAAAAGGAACGATGCGATAATCTGGGAGGGAAAGGAACGATCTCGACTTTGCCTCGAAAATGCCGTCCCCGTGCCATGCGAAAAATTCCCACTCCATGACTGGCTTAATTTCAACTACCCTTTTACTCTTGGGAGAATTCTGTAAATTTTTCGGGAGTGCTTGTGGCCCAGTGCCACTGGGAAGGACTTTTCAGTAACCTCACGATGGGTCGGGAAGAAACGAAAAATACTTTTCTCCAGTTTGGTCTTCACCGTCGGGAATGAACATAAAAGAAACTGAAGAAAAAAACGGAAAAAGAAAGGAAAATTGGCTCCAACGCGTGTTTCCAACGAGAGACGGCACGAAAAAAGCAGGATCGGCTGACCGAGTGATCGAACGTCGCAGACGGGGATCCCGTCCAGCTTCCCATCCGAGAAGGTGAAGTGGTCGAGGAAGTAGGGGCATTTGCAGGAGCATCTCTTCACGATCGCCGCCTGAAGACACATCCGCCTGCACATCTGCAAATGCACGGACATCCTCCTCGTATCTATTCATAGTTTTTGGAGGTACTTGAACGCGATCGAAGACGAAAGCAAAGAAATGTGAATCCGTTTGCTTTCTAATTGCAATCCGTCCAGAGCATCGTGGCCGATGAGGGACACTCTTTCAATTCGTGTCGTGACCGTGGTCGTTCGCCCGCGGATGTCTCACTTTCGCTTGGAATCCAAAATCTCTATCATCGGCTCTTTCTTCTACGCTTGAGATTTTCGATTTAGGCGGACCTGACACGTCGTGGTGCTTCGGCGGGTTGCATGCCCGGAGAAATTCGGGCAAGCAGAGAATCATCGCATCGTGGCGATGCGATATCGATCGATAGATCAATTATCTGCGTCCCTTCCATGGAGAGCGTAAGAGTGTCGATCGAGGATTTCCCGGACAGTTTCTGGAACTCTCTTGCAGCGTAGATGCATGGAATTTCTCCTCGCGTTTCCTCGCCCGAGCGAACCAACCGGCCTTTTAGGTTCGCAGTGGCGGTGATACAAGAGCAGAATGTTTTCGAAAGGAGACCGAAAACCCCGCTCGTGGGCATTCGTTACTCGCTGCGCATACCTCGATCTCCATTCACCATACTTGGATAAAGAAGTACTCACGTGCGTTATTTTCCATTCCGCCTGAACTGACTCCTGAGAAAATGACCCTAAACTAAAGACCCTTTACGACAGCAATGACGTCTTCCTCTAGAAGCTCTCTGAAGCGAAAAACCATCTGACGTGGGGGAAACATTGTTGAATAATCTTCGTTCGTATATTCCACAAGTACGAGGCAATTCTAGGACTGTAAACGACTTACCAAGGAGTCATAGGTGACGAAGGTGGAGTTCACCGGGTGGTACCCGCACTCGTCCCATGAGCTGTAGCAATCACTTTCGTAAGGATGAGGCAACCTCGACACTTCCACCTACTCGCATATGAAAATGAAATGCATTTTTTTTTTAGGAATAGGGCTTACATATATGAACGTTTGCTTTGAGAAAGGTTTCTACTTGCCATTTCTGACGGTTAGTTCTTTTTCTTTATAAGAGCACCACCTCTTTCATGCAATATATAATTCGATTTATTTCCAGAAAATACTTCTTCTCATACTTTCCAAAATTTGTAATATTTCCTCCGTAGCTGTATATTTCATTCATACCTCATCTTGCAATTGTCGTTTCTCAATTTCACATTTCCCACTCACGATCACGAGTGCGTCGAAAGCATCGATGAATCTCGACCNTGCAATTGTCGTTTCTCAATTTCACATTTCCCACTCACGATCACGAGTGCGTCGAAAGCATCGGTGAATCTCGACCTGTCTGAGGGCAACCTTGGTGGCGGTCCCGGTCCTGGCGTCGAATCCGGACTCCTCGGGGGAAGGGAGGTTGTCCGTCTGGTAGACGTTCACCCGGACGCCGCCCTCCGACGACAGCACGCTCGACGGCCACTCCCTCGCGTTCACGTACAGCTCCAGCTCCAGTCCTGCGGATGGAAGAGCGCGGTGAGCGGGGACCGTCCACTCCGCCGAGAGACGGAGGCATTTCGTTTGTCGATGGGCGACGAGAGAGAGCGGCGATGATTTTGTCGTCGGGCGATATCAACCTGCATTTTCGATGACGGAGGTATTGTTCTCGAATAATAACTCCTGGGAGATGCAGTTGATACGTATGACAAGGGCGCATTCACCGAGTCCATTAATCTCTGTCGTCAGGGAATGTTACGTAGGATTATCGATGTTATAGCCTGCGTGCATGTGTGGCATTCAGTCTCCCCGTGAAGAGGAAATATTTGCTTGCTGAACGACCCATGTTGTTGAGCAGGCACTGGTACCAGGTTAATGGTAAAAGTAGTGGTTTGATCTAGTTTGACTCGTATTGCCATACCGGACGGTGATATGCCTGCAGTCGACAAAATGGGACCAAACGAGAGCTACTCTACAAAAAGCCTTCATCGAATCGTCCGAGTTTCTTCTTTTGGACGTTTCAGAGAATTTCCAAATCATTTTTCGAGATCGCGGGTCCAAAAGGTACAACCTCCGGAAAAGTTCTTTCTTCCTGGCTGCGTTCGTTTCTTTACTTCCAAGTCGTTCCGAGCTACGGCGGCTCCGACAGCCAAGGAACGCACCGTTATACGGGCCGGGGAGGACGGTCCGCCTGGACCCAGCCTCCGAATCCCTGTCCTCGTTCGACTTCATGTTGAAGGCATAGCAGCTCCCGTAGCTCGTGTTCGCGAAGGGAAAGAAAAACCTGCGAACGAAATCGGATTTCACCGAATGCAGACGAATCTCCTCCAAGGAAAAAAAACAAACCTTTTGCAATCGACGCCCTCGTACTTGCATCCGCGGATGAAATCGTCCCGATCCTGCAAGAGCGCCACCTTCTGCTCCTCGCTCAGCCGCGAGAGGGCGTAGAAGTAAGAGTTCCAGGTCGTCTGGTCACTCGCGACTTCCTCGCCTTCGCCGCCGTCGACCTTGGGAGGGGGTTCGGACTTACTTCCCGCGAAGGGGACCGCGAACGCGATTCCTCGGACATTCGCGATCCGTCGACGCTCGCGATTCCTTCGAATCTCTACGGAGTTCCCGGTGCATCTCCGGGAGGATTAGAAGGACACAGGCTGTTATGCTAAAGACGGATGATGTCGGTGATGTGATTGCTTGGGGAAACGATGAAGCGGAATGAGCGCGATGGGTTCAGTCATTCGATTCATTCGTCTGTATGAAAGTAAATTGTGAAGTATGAAATATGGTGGCATTTTTAAATATATATTATTAATACTTGAAAAGAAATTATTGTCGAATTTTAAAATTGTCGTTTCACGATGATATCAGCGTGCAGGGACGATGGAATGAGAAAACGATGGAACGCCATACGCAGAAGAGCCCACCCCGAAATCCGGAAAAGCCAGATGGCGCAAATCTCATCAGCGGGACTTCGCGAATTGCAGTCGTTCTGCCGCCTTGCCTTCCCACGATCTTTGCCCATTTACCGGGGTTCTCGGGGGGTGTCGGCCTCAGTTCGCGGGTCGGATTCGGCATGATGAGGTCGGACGAGTTGGAAATCCTTCTCGTTTCACTCGCTTGCTTTTTCCAGATCGAATCCTCAAGTCGGAGCGAACATTTTAGAAAAATCCGCGAAGTTCTCACCTGGGATGAATTCCGTCGGCTGGATGTCGTCTGATTCACGCTGGATGTTGTCTGATTTGCAACGGGGCACCCTATTATCTGGAAAGAGGATCATGCGTCGTTTCATTTTTATCGACGGCATTTTGTTTATGACGTCTGAGATGCCATGATGTTCTTATTGAAGTAGGACGACGCCTTCTCGCACACGAAACGATGGTACTGATACTGGTATCATTTTAAGTAGACTTGGCCAGGGAACGAAGACGAGATCGGGGCGGTTGCGAAAGAGGTGTCGAAGAAGAGGGAAGAGGTGTCGGCAAGAATCTAGTTGATGCTACGTAAAAAAATGAAATAGATAAAATTCCCGGAAAAAAAGTGGAAGAGAAGAATGAAGAAAACGTCACATTCCTCTATAGTCGCCATTAGCCAAGTCGAGTTATAATTTATTTATAACGGAAGGAATATCTGTGGAGTGGTGGACGGTGAAATACGAAGAGAAAGATCAGAGACTACGGTTGAGTACTTTTCTTAGGGTAATTTCATACGAGATTTCGTTTTCCCCCAAATGAGGGTAAAAGAGTTTCCCTATGCTGGAGGATTTCGTAAAAACATTTTCGTTTGAGAAAGTGTTTTGAAAGTTCTTATTAAAGTCATGAAGAAATTTGATGGCAAGACCAAATTTGGCGTTCTGCGGTAGAATATGCAAATATGGAAATTTTATTAGGTGTATGCTCTCGAAAACGGAAACTGTATTGATTGATAACATCTTTCATCTCGTTCGGGAAGCATTTCGGAGAAATTCATGATCATAGGTAATAATTGGAAACAACTTCATTTAGGTGTTGAATTTTACAAGGATGCTCGATTACCGGCTCGTTTCAGTACCTTTGCCAAATCGGCAACGTCGCCCAGGTGCGTGAGCTTGGAGCAGGGGAAAGGCGAGAGGTTGCAGACGGTCACGGCCGGGAAAGTGAGGGACTTCGGTTGGGTGACAGACGACGTCGTCGAGACGGAATATTGGAGATAGGCCGTTATCACGCCACAGATTCCCTGCGAGAGTGAGGTCGAGCGAAAAAGATTCATCGGGAGCGGAAATACCGAGGCCGACATTGCAATCGTCAAGGATTATATTCATGCGTATCGAATCTGGAAGATTGAAGGAACTCACCTGGACGGTGGCGCCGGCAGCGACGACGGTCACGACCCACCATATGATCTTCCGTAATGGATGAGTGGCTCTGCTGGCATTATTGATGCCATTAATCTGGGTCGTGCTGTAGAATTCTCCCAAGACATTCCTCGTAGGCGCGCACCAGCTCATGCTTCCCGTTCCGCCCTCCTACCGCAAACGTTCCCCGCCGCTGACCGACCCGCACGGAGGAGTGGAAAGGCATCGATGCCTTCTCGCTCGGCTGTTCGCCCCTCGAAGCGACGTGCATCGATCTTGGGGGAGTTTCTTGTCGTAGATGTTGAGACCTTGCGTGATCCTCGTAAGAAGGGAGCACCTTCTGATCATGCGCAAATTTATTCAATAGTCGTGGTGGAAACGTTAATTCAGCGCAAAAAAGTCTGATTTGCATTCACGCAGTCCTCAAGTTTCCTTCCCTTTTTTTTTCCCCAAGTGAACTACTTTTCCTTACGTTCCTTCTAGCTTCCATTCAAAGGGATTCAGGAGTCCAATTCACCCCAAATTGAGCCTGCCACCTACAAGAACCTCTGTTGGTTTTGGTTTACCACTTAGACGGAGCGGCGCTTGCATTTCTATCCGAACAGGATGAAGTCATCTTAGTTGTGGGCCAATATTCACCTAACGTTCCCTTGGCTAGAGTTAAATGGTACGGCTCATCCATTGACATTGAATATTTATGGGAAGTGTACATTGAGTAGGTTACTGCCGAACCTACGCTGCTACTTTCCTCCGACGGGCTTTAATCCCTTTTACTTTGAGTCGTCCGAGTTTGAGTCTTGCTCGATTTCGTTCATTAACATCGACGTGTAATTGTTTCCTGTCCCGCAGGCGTTTCGGACGCTTTCAATTGATGGATGGGCAATGTTGAAGGCTGATTTGAAAAATAAGAGAAGTACATTTGATTGGAACCTAGTTATACGCGATATCCAAGTGCTTTGAGCGTAAATTCAGGTATTTAAGGTGCAAGTTCACGGAAATGGCATCTAGAGGTGAATCCTGAGGCTTACCTGAGATGGTGATAAAATATCTCCCATTGATGGGAAACCGAATGAAAAAATGGGAATTCAACAGAAAGACTTGAAGACGATGTCACTTCGGCATCGCGAGTCCAATTTATACTCCGAGCTCATGGACTATCCGCAGCCTAAAAAAAAAGACCGTTACCCATGTAAGTCGATTGTTCCCTTGAAAACAGAAACCAGAAGCGGACGCGAGGTCTTTCAGTTTCGCCTCTTTGATCCCGGATGACGCGATCCGTGAAGTGCGTGCCGTGAAGACTTGCCCATGCGACCGATGCGGGCCTGTCGCATCGTAGATGGGCAGTTATGGCTGCGGTGAAGAAAAATTGGCCACGTCGCGGTAAGGGTGATAGGAAGTTGAGACTGATCGTAACATCAAGTGTGAGGGTAATGATACTCATCATTGACGGAACCTTGAACCGATCTCACAAAAAGCCAGAATACTCTAGCAGGAATAACGATCGATGGAGAACCCCATCGGTCACAATCGGGGAAAATGAGGCGGCGAAAAGTCGATGAGATGTGATGAGCCTGAATTCCCATTAGGGATGTTTTTACCGGGGACGAATACGGTCGAGGAATTGTCAACTCGGAGAACATCACTAATTAAATTGAGGATTGAGAACGGAACACTTTGACCTGGAAGTGGAAAGGGGAAGGACATCTTGGAGATTCCGGATTTCTAGTCTTCGCGAACGCGCAATTTTCCACACGACATCTGATATTGAAAGCGAAGAACGAAAATCAAGATTTATTTCGCTCGATTCAAGTTCTAAAGTGAGATGCGCTAAAATCTTCGCAAAATAACGGCACGAGAAACCGATTGACTGAAGACAAGTCAAATGCACAGGACTTAATTGCGCATTCGGCAAAAATAGATTCAATTCATCGTCCCTATAATTTGTTCTCGCTCCATTCTGGGAGTCCGTTCGGGTGAGTACACAACGAACGGAGCCGAATCAGCTTTAGGTTCGAACAACGCGAGGTGAAACAATAGTTGAATCGTTATTTTTTAAATATTAACCCCTAATGGTCCCCCATCTCCATACATGAACAGGGAACCCGTGTATGTGAGGGGTCTCCAATTATCGCATTCACCCCACGAAGAGGCGACGCGTCGAGCACTGGGAAATTATTCATGTCAGCGACCGGCCTCCTGGGAGACTGCCAGGCACAAAAGGACCCGCAGCGGCTTAATAGTAACCCAATAATTTCGGGGTAATGAGTCCATATCGGAATTACTTTAGTCTGTACGAGAAGTCCTTGGTACTCGCACCTTAGGGATCTCATCAGTGTATTCAGTAATAACTTATAAATATAAGAGAAGGCCTATTCATGGAATATATGGAAATACAATGTATTTGCATGATCATGACTGAATGATTGAGTGACTCACGCGAATTCTATGCATGCTATTGACCTGGGAGAGCGTTGAAACTAGGTACACAAGTAATTGTCAGGTGCTGCGATCAGGGAAAATCACACTTTGGAGGTACATTCCCAAAGGGCACAGTTTTCCGTGAAAACGATTTTCAGTAAACTCGGCAGATAAAGAGAGCTGTGATTTCGTTCACAAATTGTTGTTGAGGGATGTTGAATTCAGAAAAATTCTACTTCAGGCGTATTTTTTAACCCTTGGTGGCAAAACGTTGTTTGCTTGAGGGTGGAGGGGAATTACATCTCGGCTGTTGACATAAGTCGCGGTTTTTCAGGTACATGCCCTGAGAGCACATCTTTCATTTTCAAGGGGCGATTTTCAAAATAAATTTATTTTTTGCAACAATGAATTGTGGTGTATGGACAGATGAAACGTGGTTCACTGGCTGCGTCTTTGGGTGTTGGTTTAGGTTAAAAGTACTACTTTTGCATTATGTATCTCTTAGTGTTAAAGGAGGCTGTCCAATTTAACAATATTTTGGCCCTTAAACCAAATTCATTGAATCATATATCATTTCAAAAGGTGTCCTTCACAGAATAATAAATTGCCACTTTTACTCCAATCTGAAGGGTTTGGAAAAGTTAGGTTAGGTTACGATGAAGTTATCTCGCTGGGTTTTCCATCATAACATTAATTTCAGCCGTTTTGAGGAAAGGGAAATACAGTCTTAAAAAAAAAACAATTAAAATACAATTCCATTAGATTTTGTAAAATCTCAGTATGTACCAACGAATCATTAACTTTCATATAATTGCACCTTAAAACTTTTTTGCGAGATTTTCTAATTCTCAGCAAAAGTTCACCGATTACTTCCAAAACTTCAGTGTGCACTGGCGCCATCTCAGGTCAGTCCATGTTGCTGCTACCACCGTACCGACTACCGTACGGCACCAGTTTTCTACACTCGACTACTCTTCTGAGCTCACATATATTCTCACTTGTACTGAGAAGCTTTCGTCGTCCTCATCTCCCGCGGGTCTATTATATTTGCTAACAACATGTACACACATATTTCATTTTTCAGATATTTGCTGACTTTTTCCTAGGGAACAGATAAGAGCGAAAGGACGAGACGATCTATAATAAATTAGACAAGGCCAGGCAGAATGTGATGCTTGACCTAGACTTGCTGCAGGGATCCATTGTAGGCCGGAGTGTCACGGATACTCGAATCATTCGGAACAGCAACCCTAGGTCAACATTGACGTAGGGTTGAAATGTTGAGATATGGATGAAGTGGAGATTCAGCGAAGAACACGAGGAATTTGAGATAAATGAAACACCTACTTTTCGTAATTAACCGAATACGGAGCATGAAGCATACACATGGATTAGCGAAGTCGCTTGGAGGCTATTAAGTGCAATTTTTTTTTCATATTTGCCTCCTTTAATGTCTCAATTATGTTTCTAAATGGAATTATCCATCATCATCCCGACTGGAAACAAGTCTACGAATCCACCCGAGATGGCGCCTAACCTCCAATTTAGCGATTCTCACAGTGTTGCCCCGAAAAATACAGTTCCCTGTATTTTTTAATACAGTACCCGATCTGTTCCCACGAACAACTTGAAGGACGGCTTTGGAATTCCTAGAAAGACCCCTTGTAGGAAGTAACCGATCAGAAGGAGACTCCTGATACTCCAGGCCAGGTGATCCCAGGAAACATGCCGAATTTAGCCTACCTGGCTTAGCGCCACATTGACTTGGGCTCTAATGACCCTATCGAAAGATGACTACGTGCTAACCGGTCGGCAAGTGTGTGTCTGTCTCTCATCGTTGAGCGTACGTGAGCATCGTTATGCCGAAATTGGGTGATATGGCCAATCTTTCCTTACGCAGTCATCCGCTTTTAAATGCGTTTTAGGTATTTTCGTCTGGGACTAAAGATTCTAGAGCAAACAGGAAACTGGAGTTTTACCATTTTTCTTTATTGTGAGCCAGGTATTGACGGCCTGTAGACTGTCTCTTGCAAAAACACTGAAGGTGGTAACGAGAACAACACGAGGAGGAAATAATAAACTTAATGGATGAGGTGTCACACGTGTTTAAGACGTATTCTTGACTCGAAATTAGGATGAAAGAGAAAGACGAAACTATTCGCTGAAAAATTCTGCCCATCACAGGTGAAAATGTTTGTGAGATGAAGCAAGGAGAGAAGACAAAGGTGCGTAAGAATCGCCTGCGTACAAGTAAGGACTTTAAAAATGCATTTGGGATTTCATAGAAGCTTCTAGTAAGTAAAATTTCCACATCAATGACCTGTTCATACGGTTCCACTAGAATTTGCAGACTTTGAAACCTGCAATATTCGTAAATATGTAAGGGTAATCATGAAACTTCTTGCAAATTAATACTTGAGTTATTGCCTGATTTCCTTGCCACATGTGCAGCGAAGTGTGTCGATTCATAGATAGAGATTTCGCATGTGGTTGGTAGAATATGACAACAAAGGATAGAAGTCTCTCGAAAACGCGGAAGCAAATCAATACGGGTGAACGCCCTTTAGAAAATCCCCCAGGTAATATTCCGGTCCCTTGAACCTCAAGATCGGGCATTATAATTTTTTTCAATATTATATTACTCCCAGAAGTAACGGACGCATGCGAAGCATATAGATTTGAAAGAATAAGGTTGCACGGAAAGCGAACATAGACTATTCACGCGAAGAATTTTTGGGAATGTCAAAAGTGCTTCATGTCCCATGCGAGGTGGGAGGGATATCCCGAGCGGGCGCTGCGACGGGACACCCGTCTCTTGGGCGGTGGATTCTCCATCGGCTTCTGACCGACTCCGAAGCATCTGCCGATGAATGCGAGGACCATCAGGGGAAGTATCTCGATGACTTCCAATATCATGACCACGGAGATTC